TAAACATCCTTTTATGAAATCTAAAAAAGTTGTTTGGCGTGTGTTTAGTGGTGGTTACATTTGGAGGCGCTGAATTTTTTATAGTTTAAATAAATGAATATGGGGAATTACGATGTACATTGATTCAATGAGGGTGGGATGATTATCAAGGATATTGGAACCGATAACGGGATAGATATTAATTGGAATAAACATAGACAATTAATTAATTACGTCACTAGCTTTACTAGCGTTTTTACTTTTTAAATTCCTTCAACATGTGACCAGTTCTTTTTTCAAATGAATACTTTTTTTTACTAAGCTGTTTACAAAACAAACTAATATGTTGTTGTGTTTACTTTTCGTTGTTTAAACTTATTTATTTAGCAATTGGTGCAGAGAAATTGACATAAAGGATGTGTGTGGACGATTCGTTTAATGATGTCAGGACACCAACGTTATAATTATGTGTACTGTGAATTTTATTGGATGTTTTCGTTTTATTTTAGGGAGTTTCAACTCAGACCTACTGGAAATTGTGTATAGTATGAGTAATTGTATTGTGGTAATATTGATTATAGAAGAGGTAGGTATGCGATGGAAGGTGATATCATTGACTAGGCCTATACACTTCTCAATTGATAATTACTGATTCTACTGTAGGCTGCAATAAAAATTTTCTTTATACGTGTAAACTAGCTGTTCTGAATTATAGGCCTAAACCGTTTTAACTGACTACTCCCGTACGTAGGACGGGCTTACACCTCGTACTTATAAAAGGCAAAGCCCTCACTGACTCATTCACTCATCACTAATTCTCCCACTTCCCATTTACCTAGGAGGCTGAAATTCCCCCCCGATTCTTTGGCCATTAAATAGGAAATCTAAGTAGTTTTTATTCTGATCGGGCTTTCGGGCTCCGCCCCAGTGGCTCTGGAGTTTCCCATGTTAACCTTATAATTTTTCATACTTAAAAGGAATTAATGAATCTTAACAGCTGTTTCAATCAAACAATTTAGGACAACAGCTAATTTACAACCAAAATTGCTACAAAATTGCGAAATTGAGTGAGCGTAGCGAATGAACTTCAACCTGGAGGCGAGTTAGCGTAGCGAACGAGCTAACCTGAAGGCAAGTGAGCGCAGCGAACGAGCTCCAACCCAAAGGTGAGTGAGCGTAGCGAACGAACTTCAACCAGGACGTGATTTTCTTTGGATTTTCTTTGCCATGCCAAAGAATTCATCTTGAAATTTAAGAAGTTAAATAGTGTAATATAACTCATTTTCAAATGCCTAACAAACATATTGTACGAGTCGACCATGGGATTTAAGATTGAATTTAACCACGGATTAAAACGTAGACATTTAATCCAACACAAAACTACACAGTTACTGTTGGAAGTTGGAAGGATTTTTAGTATTCAACAAACGCAAACTTTCAATGTCTTCTAACTACACTCAGAACTAACTGCACTTGCCTTGCACAAAACGTCTGTAGAACGACTACAATATTCAAACAAAACCTCTAGGCCTACATAGTGTCTCCACACGAAGAAAACCAAAATTCCACTTACAGGGTCGAGAAAATCCCTGTCTATCCCGCTTTACTGTAATGAAAAATTCTGTTTAATCCCGCATGATTTTTTACGTTCTGTCCAGGGTAATCAGTATATTGTAACAGGTCTAAATATCTCATAAAACCTTTCAACAGTGAATATAGTAGAATATTTTAAACAAGTGGTGTCAGTTTTTATCTGAAAAGCGGGATAAAAAGAAAAAAGAAGCTAATCGTAAGAGCCGATAGTCTTGTTTTATCCGCGTCCCGTTTTAATCCAGCACATGGTCTAAAGAGTCCTGTTTTGGGGATAAAAATGCCAAAACAAACGAAAATGGCAGCAAGCACAGCCGCGCACTACCACTAGCCAAAATGGCGGAAGCGGGCAGATATTACAACACTGAGACTGAACGCATAGAGAAAACAATCTTTTTTAAATTGTGAGTGTTTTTATATCCGTTTCAACTTTCATACGTTTGAATCCATTAATATATTTTCATAACCACTTTTTTTCTTTTAAAACGAAGAATCACGCCTAAATAAGCTTATATCTTACTGGTTTTCTACCACAAAAATAGGCGTGAAAAGTAATTAAGTTAAGTTATGTTGATAGAAAAATTATAGTTTTTCAGTTACCTACATAAAACTAATGCACAGATGTAAGCGTTTGTTTTTTTATAAAATTAAGTGTCTGGAACCGATATTTTATATGAATTAAAAATAGGTATTTACCTTCGTCTACAGCTCAATCTGTTGTAACTTGGGTTACGGCCGTTTCGGCATTATAATGCCATCGTCAGACGTTGAACATTCAGCTGAAGTAGCGTCGTCATAGTTGAAACACATAACACGGACACGAATAACATTTTACAATTACTAACGAAGACACAACGAACAGGCCTGTCGCACACACGGTACCGGTTGACATTGCCACGATCTGAACTGGATGCCGACTGGAGGTTAATCCTGCATCGTTCTTTGCGTAGTGGTGTTATCAGCTGACCTTTGTACTCCTGCCTTTTGTCTCTTGTCCTGGTCTAAAATACTATTGAAAATGATGTGTGATTTATATTGTAGTTTGTCATTTAATATTGTGTCATCAAAATTATTTTCTGTATAGGCTCTGTAAATTTTGTATTCTTCTAATGTGTCCAATTTATTTCCTTTCTTGCTTGTGTGGAGTATATTGAGGCCAGTGTTCAGATCATACATTTCATGGTTTTTGTCAACCAGGTGTTGAGCAAAGGATGATTTTTGTTTGTCGGCCCTTGGACATTTTAAGAAACCAAATCCAATTCCAGAATAATTTTAGTCTAAAAAACATCTATGATTTTATTGAAAAAACTAAAGATTTAAACATAAGGATGCATGATTTATTGGTTTCATTTGACATCGTTAATTTGTACACCAATGTACCGGTGGAGAAAACTTTGGAATTAGTCCAAGGTCACCTGACTTCCAGTTCAAATATGTTGCCAGAAGCAGTCGATGAATTTTTAGCCCTTCTGAAAGAAGTACTTCAACAGAATTATTTTAAGTTTGAAGGAAAATTCTACTCACAATCTGAGGGCCTAGCAATGGGCTCCCCTCTATCTTGCATACTCGCCGACATTTATTTGAATTATATCGAAAATGAATTTATACTATCAGATCGTAACAAACAGAAACAGAAAATACTGCAGTACCACCGATATGTAGATGACACTATTCTTTTGTTTAACGGTAACGTCCGACAACTGGAATTATTACACAAATATCTAAACAATATTGCCCCAAATTTGAAATTCACGATGGAAATTGAGGAGTCAAACAAAATGAATTTTCTAGACCTGACAATAGAAAAATTGGACAATAAATTGGATTTCAGCATTTACCGTAAGCCAACCACGTCAAACCAAACCATCCATAACACGTCATACCATCCACCATCACAGAAATATGCCGCTTATAATAGTATGTTATATAGATTGTTAAATGTTCCAATGTCAGACAACAATTTTAATAAAGAACTCAATTTGATAAAACACATAGCGCTATCTAATGGGTACAACAGCAATATGATTGACAGGTTATTAAGTAAGATGAAAAACAAAAAGTCTGGAGACGTCCAACCACAAAAGAAGAAGTATGTGTGTGTAGAGTACTCACATTCAATTCAGTACTCACTTACGAAAGAACTGAAAAAACATGGTATCGAATTGGCGTTCAAGACCAACAACAAGACAATTAATAAATTAAACGTTTCTGATCGTGTAATCGACAAAAGTGAGAAGTCAGGTGTATACAAAATTAAATGTGCTAGTTGCCCGAGCTTTTATATAGGAAAAACTGGACGGACATTCGGAACCAGGTACAAAGAACATCACCCATGTCCAAGGGCCGACAAACAAAAATCATCCTTTGCTCAACACCTGGTTGACAAAAACCATGAAATGTATGATCTGAACACTGGCCTCAATATACTCCACACAAGCAAGAAAGGAAATAAATTGGACACATTAGAAGAATACGAAATTTACAGAGCCTATACAGAAAATAATTTTGATGACACAATATTAAATGACAAACTACAATATAAATCACACATCATTTTCAATAGTATTTTAGACCAGGACAAGAGACAAAAGGCAGGAGTACAAAGGTCAGCTGATAACACCACTACGCAAAGAACGATGCAGGATTAACCTCCAGTCGGCATCCAGTTCAGATCGTGGCAATGTCAACCGGTACCGTGTGTGCGACAGGCCTGTTCGTTGTGTCTTCGTTAGTAATTGTAAAATGTTATTCGTGTCCGTGTTATGTGTTTCAACTATGACGACGCTACTTCAGCTGAATGTTCAACGTCTGACGATGGCATTATAATGCCGAAACGGCCGTAACCCAAGTTACAACAGATTGAGCTGTAGACGAAGGTAAATACCTATTTTTAATTAATATCAAAGCTCAGGGGCTAAAAATGGATTTTAATTTTATATGAGTTATTTAACTTGGTTTACGTACATGGAATTGAGGTTACGGCTACATTAGTAAGTTAGCATTATTTGCACGATATTTTTGTGCCGGCAAAACACAGACCGGTTGCCTGACTCCATAAGAGACATTGCAAAATTTGTCTTGATACTGGAACTGGCACAATAATTTTGTGTCCGCAAGACTTTGGTAAATATAGTAAATATTGTTGATGCATGGCAGTTTTGTCTAAAGATTTGATTTTGCTCCAAAAATAAAAGAAAATCTGTAGGTCAACATTAATTTAGGTGACTCTTTAAGAAAATTCTGTGACAATAGGGGACATTGGTGACACATTACTAAAATCTGTGACTTTTCCAGGACTTCCGTGACAGGTAGACACCCTGAGATCAGTTCAATGGTAACCAAATTGCTGTAAATTTACTAAACGTTTTTACAATCCCACATTAGCTAGTAAAGAAAGACTAGTAACTAAGTTGACAAAGTAATAAACATACCGTGTGTTTCTTTGGCCATTGTGGACTTGGCGAAAGAAGATAAAAACTTGTTGTCGACTGCTAACTTGCAAGCCATCCATGCGATGGCACTGGCCGCCTTCTGCATCTTGACTGAGTCTCGCTCTCCTGAAGTCAAGACAGTTCACTGACCTGGGCAAATTGAATGTCTTAGTTGTGTATTATAGGCTACATAAGGTGTAAATAAATCACGTTTGTGAGTTACCCAAGCCAGTCAAAATAAGGTCAAACGGATAGAGTGATGAAAAGTTGCCCTATGAATCAAGATATTGCAATATTAAACACCATTAGGTATCCCTATTGAGTTTTAAATAAAATGAACATACACAAACAGATTATAAGTCGTGCTGTGTGGCTGCTAATATGCCAATATAGAAGGAAATGTACGGTATGTTTAAAATAAGGAACCATGTTCACAGTTAAACGATACAGACTAAGGTTTGCTGCTGGAAAGACCCTTCTAGACGCTAAAAATACTACCGTCACAGCAAACATACAGACTACATGAATTTCCACCCGATTAGATTTTTACTACCGGTACAATGTTTCCTTATACTTGTCAGAAGCATTGCCCATTAAATAACATTAGATTTAGTGAGTAATTAGGTTTGGTGTTACAGGGATGGGAAACCTCCCCGTAACATTGTGTTTTTATCAAATGTTAATAGTACTAGATGTAATGAATAAATTGCCAAATTTGACAAAAATATAATCATAAACAAGCAAACTACAACAGTTTTCCTTTTCTCCCAAAGAATAAAATAATATTGGAATTTTTTACGTACAGGCAATTTTTTGAGGCTAGTGTGGCGAATCAACAAAAATGTCGACCCCTGAAACACATTTAATATATAATTTGGAAAGTACAAAAACGTTGTTTTATTTAAGCTATGTTCTTACAGACGATGAAAAATTAGAATCCAATGTTGTCAGGCTGGTCAGACAAATATAAGCTTTGGAGTTTTACCTGATCGGTCTTGCTTACACGTTCATGCCAAATTTAACAAAAAACGGACCAATATTAACTTGAGTTATCATAGCATGTTCACTGACACAACTATATTAAGTAAGTTTGAACATTAATAAACTGAGTAGGTACCCTTTTACACTATAATTATTTATTAAAATAAATAAATGCTTTAGGGTCTATATTTTCAATTTTTTAATAGAGTTTTTGACCTCAGGAGACATGAAAATGAAAATGAGATGGGTCCTGGGCCTAGATCTTACCATGAGACCTACTATAATAGCTGCATACCTAGAGGGAAATTTGCTAATAGAGTTCGAACCCAAACACGACTTATGATCCGTTTTTTACAATGTAAACATGCAAGTATTCTTAATGAACGTGTAGGCTAATCTGATCATATGATCCATTATTAAGATCTAACCCAATATAAGATTCACTCACCCAATATGGCTGCTTGTTCTCTAACAGCTCGTAGCTGCAGGCAAGTAGACGAGTCTTTAACAGCTCGTAGCTGCGGGCAAGTAGACGAGTCTCTTAATAGCTCGTAGCTGCAGGCAAGTAGACGAGTAGGTTCTGTGATGCGGCAACACCCCAAGGAAACATGGCGATCAAACATCCTCATCAAGAAACTAGAGAACACTTCGGGGTCGATGCTATATCTCCTCCAACCTCCAACATCATCAGCCACACCTGTAACACAACACCAGATGATTAGTATCGTCCTTGACGATTGATGGAACTAGTAATTCCATACTCAGGTTTTATTTGTAGTTCGTTTTTAAATCCAAGAATGGAAGGTTAGGATAATGGAATGGTTTGGCTGGGGTTAACGTTAAGAGAAAAAAAGTCTAATAATAATTCCTTATGCGCAAACTTATCAACTGGTAACGACCAATTCAACTGTTTGTCTGCCGATCTCCACGGGAAATTCACATTCTTTTCTTAAATTAAGCTGAACCAAACAATCTGCTAACGAAGAGTTACAGATTGAAAGATTGTGAAAACGTCAGACAGTTCTAGGAAAATAGACAACACAAAAGTCCTAAACTGTATGCAATTTTCTTTCACAGCCTAAATCAAATTAGGCCTAAGTTAATTGTACCAATAACATACACAATATACAATGGACAGCAAAAAATAATTTTGGATCAATCAATAAAAATATCCTTTTAGAAAGTTTAATTTTTTTTAATAGGTAACTTATTGTAAATAAACTGTTTCAATACAAAAGTACCGTAAGTTACAGTATTGCTGAACTAGGCTGACATAGTTCAGTTGATCCTGGATAAACGCAGTAGGAGCTCACAATAAACCAATCTTTAAAAAGGTAAAATGTGACTTCTACCTGAGTCGTACGCACCTTGTGCCAGTGTGCCATTTAGGCCTAACTCTATTCAGAGTCGGCAGCAGCAAGGCCAGGTAGGCTACAACGAGATAAAGCCCACACTTACAGATAAACGACTCAAAGCTACAATTGAACGAGCTGAACAATATAACAAAGCTGAACGATATAAAGCCTTACATTGTGCCAACTTACAAATATTTTCAGTTCAGAGTTTTGATAGTATTCAAAGTTATTTATTAGAATCTGTTTTAGCGTAATCAATTTTAAGCATCAAGATTAGGCCTAACGAATTCCATATGAAATAAGACAGGGTCGTGTCAAGGCTATTGGATTCAATAGAAACTTCTTAGGTAATATCATTGACTATTGGATACAGAAGTTGTTGTATTAATATTCAAAAGGTAATATGCAATTCAGTAAGAGAATAATAACTATAACGTGACCATAGGAACCTATCCTGTATTGATTTATATACAAACAATAACTAGATTTTTAGCTAGGTACCTAAAAAGATTATGTGCAATAGTTTTTCCAATTTCAAAATAGTCTAAGTTAACTGAACTAGTGTAATGCTTTAAAAATCCAATTATTCATTATTCATTATTCATTAGCCTTCGTCGTTGACCCTCTGATGAGGGAATAGACTGCGTCGTTGTTTAATACGAAAAAAAAAGACACAAAAACAAAGACTACACGCACATATAAAATAAAACTTATTTAACATGGCGGGCAGGCAGTAGGCGGTACAAAAAATTAATTGTCCCGCTCCAAATTGTCCTTAAAGAATTCCTCTACTTTGTAGTATGGTCTATTGATCATCAAGTCTTTCACAGCACTCTTGAACTTCCGGTCGTCCAGACATCGAATGCTGGAAGGGAGTCTGTTGAAGAACTTGATGGCTGACGTAGGGAAGGAATTGAGCGTCCTGCTCAATCTCGCACGGGGAACATCAAGATCCTGCCTAGCTCTGGTATTATGGGCGTGGATGTGGCTTCTGGTGTTGAGAAGAGGAACACTGCATTTGATTTCAACCAGGCAGGCGTAGATGTAGTGGCTGCAGACGGTTAGAATTCCAAGTCTCTTGAATATCGGTTTGCAGTGTTCTCTAAAAGGGCTCCTTGAGATTATACGGACTGCCGCTTTTTGAAGCTTTAAGACTTCCTCCACTTCCGACGCATGACCCCAAAGGTGTAGTCCATACGCAATGTGCGAATGAAACAGGGCATGGTATACCATGAGCAGGTACTGCTCCGTGACACATTTCCGGAGGCGCCTGAGGAGACAGTTGACTCTCGCAAGCCGTGTGGCAACATGGGCAGCATGGTCATTCCAGTCGAGTCGGCTGTCCAGCTGGAAACCGAGAAGTTTTACTACAGCCATGTCGTCCGAGGAGTCTCTTGAGAGGGTACAAAGGAGTCTCTGGGTTTTGTCTCCATTCAGTTGCAGCTTATTCATCTGGAACCATGCTTTTGCTTCTTGGACCTGGATTATGGCTAAATCCCTAGTGTGGTGTAGGTTTGGCCCTTTAGTGAGAAGCGTGGTATCATCCGCAAATAGTATAGAGCTGCTGGTCTCGTCGATGTCGTTGATGAGGACCAGGAATAGAAGAGGGCCCAGCACAGATCCTTGGGGAACCCCCTGGTTCACCTCCAGTTCTAGAGAGCTTGCGCCTTCGAGTATTACCCTCTGGGTTCTGTTGGCTAGGTAGTTCTTGAAGGTGGAGAGAACCACACTACCAACGCCATATCTGCTGAGTTTTTTGAGCAGGATATCATGGGATACACAGTCAAAGGCTCTGCTGAGGTCACAGAGTGTTAGCATTACCGACTCCCCAGCTTCAAAGGCCTCGCCAACCTCTCTTGCAATCCTGGCAATCGCAGACGAAGTAGATCTCCCTGCGCGGAAACCGTGCTGTGAGTCTGAAAACAGCTGGTGTGTTTCAAAGTATGTATACAACTGATTCTTCATCACCGTCTCTATCACCTTACTAATCACAGGTAGTATCGAGATAGGTCTGTAACTCGAGATACTGGCATGATCACCTTTTTTGTATATTGGAATGGTCTTGGCTCTCTTTAGCTTGTCCGGAAAAACACCTGTCAACAAGCACCTGTTGATAACTGTAGTCAGGGGGGCAGAGATGTCATCAGCTACATCCTTCAGTAATTGGGATGACCAGCCAAAACAGTCACATGCTCTGGAACTTTTGAGTCCAGAGATTAGAGTCCGTATCTGCTTTTCTGAGATGGGATTCCATCTGTCAAGGGAACAGTGGAGCTCTTCCACACGCCTTCCGACATAAGCCAACGGGTCTTGGGGGCTATCTGGGATGTTGTAGATAATTTCTTCAACAGACGAGACAAAGAAGGTGTTGAAATCATCTGGACTCGCCATGCAGGACATTTTAGGCTTTTGGGGTTTCACACTATTTACCACACTCCAGGCTGCTTTGCATCGGTTTTGCGAGCTTTCAATGAAACGGACATTGGCCAACCGTTTGGCTTCCTCAACTTTTTTATTATAAAATCTTTTCAGGGCCAGGTAATTATGAACATCCCCTCTGTCTCGAAGGGCCATCATCAGGTTTTTCAAGTCGGTTAGGTTAGGTGAGTACCAGTCTCTCACTTTGTGTCTTGTCTTAGATGAATTTGTATCCTTGAGTTTACCTGTAGGTCTACCTTTTTTGGTTGAGGCAGGGAAGCATTCGTCAAAGAGATCCTGTAAGGTATCAAAAAACACATCGAACCATGCATCAGGGTTTTGTAAGTCAAAAATGCAATCCCATCTTACTGCCCTGAGACGACCCTTAAAGCTAAGCAGAGCCTCAGGTTTTGAGAGATTTCGTCTATGCGAGAAAACATAATTTGCATGCCAGGGGAAAACAGTGGGTGTACTCACCGATGAAGTGTTGACATTTAATACCACGGCATCATGATCGGAGGGGACAAGAACTTTCGAACTGTACCTCTCCTGCGGAAGCGATGTAAGGATGATGTCGAGGCATGAGTTCCCTCTGGTTGGGATTTCGTTGGTAATAAATAAGCCACACTGTCTTGTCAGAAGCTTGAAAGTTTTCTCCTCACTGGAGCTGGACAATATGTCAACATTAAAATCACCACACACAACAAGATTACAAGACAAAGAAGACAAATAAATAATACATTTCTCAAAGATCTCGCAAAAGCTATCAAATAGAGCATTGATAGGAGACCTATAAACAGATGCGACCACAAGGTCGAAGTCCGCAACTCGGATGGCAGCTACTTCACAGACTTTTTCTTCACAGAAATTTTCCAAATTAATCGTAGTGAAAGTCAGTTCTTTATTTATATAAAGTGCAACACCACCGTTTTTTGCAGTAATCCTACAGAAACTTGTGGCCATTGTCATGTTACTAATACTATGGTAGTACATAACCTCATCATGTACCAGCCAATGCTCAGACACACAGAGAATATCCAAGTTTTCGTCATCAGCAAAGATTTCAACACTGTCAAATTTGGTTCTCAAACATTGGACATTCAAGTGACCAATAATTAGGGAGCTTGGATCATTTGGTATGACTACCCCACTGAGGCTAGTGGATGCTTCTGTTTCCCTAAAAAAATCCGGGACTCAATTTGTGCAGGCCTAGGCCTATGGTGTCTGCTAGGTCTGGCTGGTAAAAATTTCCTTACAAATATGTTTGTTGGCCAAAACTCTGAGGTTAGAACCCTGTCAAAATCGTTTTTACACACACCTACTTTAAAGGATTTGTAAGAATTGTACTTACTCTTCAGTTCTGTACATTCAACATTTTGGATACCTTCACTTGTGAGGAAGTTGGAAACATCCATAGTCGTTGTAGATGGTTGGAGTCTAGAGATAAATAGCCACTCCTGTTTTCCAACTGATTTTAGAGTTGTCTTGACGTTGGTACCAATCACACCAGGGATATCACGACCCAATTTGGGCTTCTGAGGATTTTTAAGTGCACTCGCATACGTTATATCACCATTCATCTCAGGTTTCCTAACCTCACCAGCGCTAAATACATCGCAGTTTGCAGTATTTTTGTTTTTACAAGTGTCTTCCACTTCCACTCTCGAACAGACAGGAGTGCCAACGCCAACATGCGCTAAACTGAAGTTGGTCGTCATCGTCAGATCAGATGATGGGGCAGGGCTATATGGTTCCATCACTGCCATACTAACGTCGTTGGCGATGGTAGCAGACGACTGGAGGTCGTTGTCAGAAAATGAGGCCGTGCAGTTGTCATCACTGACTGGGAGTGGGAGATTATTTTCGTTTTTCTTCTCCATGACGTTTGAAGGCGAAGTGTCGTCTGCATCGTCTGCTCGTGACGTTGCTTCCGCTTTTAAACCACATTGTTTGGCAATAAGGTTAATATTTGTACTAAGTTTGACATGATGTGTAACGATATTACTTAGCTTCTTTTTGGTGTTTTCTTGAACCTTACACACAGAATTCACAGCCTCTTTAAGTTCATTGAAGCCTGTTACTAATAAATTCTTTAAGTCACAATCACTTGAAATGACGGTTTGCATACGGGCATCACAGGGACCACAGAACCATCGAATTTTCTCCCCGAGTCGGCTAATCTGGTCGTAATCCTTCTTACTTATCTTGACACATTTATGGTGGAACCACGAAGAGCAAAATCCTTCACACTCAAGAGCGTAGTCCTCTTCAGATACACTATTAGAACACACACCACACGTAAACCGCTGCTGCGTGACCGCCATGTTGACCGGAAATCCAAATTGTCTATCTAGCAATAATTACTTGTTAACACTATTATCTCAGTAAATTATAAGTAATTATAAATGTTTGATTTATTCTAAGCTATTTAAAGTGAATATCAGACTCACCTTATAGGTTAATTACAAGAAAACAATCTTCTGCAGAGTGCAGACTACACTACACAGACACTGACACTGACTACACTCCGACTCCAGTCCAGAGCTGCGGCCATGATGATGATGGATTTTGTTTGGTGCAGTTCCAGTGTTCCAGTAGTCCATTCTCATCGGTTAGTATGTCTGTTGTTTTCACAATCTAGCTTTTAAGCGCTTACTAAGGTAGGGTCATTGATTATATATCTTCCCAAGGACAGAGGGTTAGTTATACCATAGATAATATACAATTAATGGTAATGTACATTAATTATAAGATAAAAGTATTTCGAACCAGCTCACAACGGCGAAGAAGGGCCACCAATTGTAAAAATTATTTTTCTTCGTATATGAGAAAACAAATTTAGAATTAGAGTTTTAAGTCAGAACGGGGGAGTAGGCAAATAACATCAGAGAAAAATTTCAAAGTTATGAGTATAAATGTTTGTTTTTGTTGATACCAATTTTAAACCATTGTTTGACTTCAGGAGACATTTTTATCTAGATTTCATCAAGATTCAAGATTTATTTCGGCCATTAAGTTGATTAAAATAGGCTTTGTCTTACATAAAATATTAATCTAAAAATAATATTTCAGTCTTTTCCTGAAAAAAAAATAAAACATACAAAATAATAATATAATCCACTGCAAACCAAACAACAGCACTTCTGTCAAAATCTTCACACAGCAAACCATGCAAAATATAATTGTCAAACAAACATACCTTTCAGTAGACGTACATGACATGACTTAATAAGTATTTAAGTTTTGTGCAGCCTTCATGGCATCAAAAAATTCATCAAATTTGTAATATGGGTTCAACTCAAGCCAATTTTTCACAATGGATACAAATTTTGGATTTAATCCCACACAACTTTGCTTAAGAAAATTTCTGGCAGCGTTACGTTACTGGTAGAGGGCAGAGGCCTGCGTTGTGCACCGTCACAGTGGGAGGGGAGAGTTTAAAAATGAGAACGAAGAACGAGAACGCTTTACATTTTTTGTGAATGGCCCCCGTTAATTTCTGACTTTAAACTCAGAATTCTGACTTTTTCTAAGTGTGGAATCCTACTAGTAGCGTTCTGACTTTAAACTTAGGATTCTAAGTTTATTCTCAGAGAGGAACGCACACAAGTTCAATTAATTCTGACTTACAATTGCTTTCTGTGGCCATCAAACCAACTAACACCGTACAACTATAGTTCGGCCGCTTGGAAAACGACCTGCGCGCTAATGCTAAATCAATGCTGGAGCAGGTCGCTTTCTAAGCGGCCGAACTATAGTGTTTCCGTAATGCGAGATTCTTGTCCTTTCCTTATCTTATACTTTTAGACAATGACCGGGATTAAAATGGCATGTGGGATAAAACGAGATTCTTCGAATCGTTGAGGTAATGCGGGATTTTATCGACACGGTTAGCTTGATTTTTGAAAGTGTACTTTATCCCTCGGAGCAAATGGCGGCCATCGTGTCAGGTCTTGAGAGCTGCTGCTGTTTTTTCGGGCGACTTTATTCATGCTGCTGGTAGTCCTTTAGCAGGACGTATTCTACCTGTTTTACCCAAAAATGGGATTTTGTTTAGACTATCTAGCAGGATTTTTGTTTTAAGACGTGTGGAAACACCAACAGAAAAAAAGTTATCACCGGTTATCGAAAAAGAAAAACGATTCGGTTGACATACACGGTCGAATTGTGTTGGATTGGATTCGGTATTCGGCAGATCTCACGATTGTACGTACACACATAGTGCAATTATTAATGAGCTGATTTAAATTAGCCTATTTTTGATTCCCCCAGTTGATACCAACCTACCAAAATTATAGTGTTTCGAGTTCTTAGAAATCTCAGAACACAGAACTGAAACAACCACTGAGCAATAATTCTAACTGGAGGTAGCACTGAATGTCAAAGATGCGTGTCGCCAGCCGCCATGTTTGCGTGAGGTGGGTGTCCATAAGAAGCCATGTTATTGCTATGACAAAAAAACTCACTGCTATACAACCTAGTTATAAGAAGCCATGTTATTGCTATGGTAAGAAAACTTACTGCTATACCAACCTAACAAAATCAGCGACTCGCTTTTGACAGACTTCTGCAATGGCAGTGCTACCTCCAGTTATAATTTTAGCTCAGTGGAAACTGGAAACAACTGAAGTTTAGTTTAGTGTAAGTGTGGTCCTTGCTTGTCTTGGTTGTCGTTGTCACATCACAATCGCGGGAAAGAAAGTGATTGTGAAGTAGTTTAGTGATGTGTTGCTAACTTTATTAATTAGTTTGGTTTGTTTCTGATTACCTTTTTGCTGTGGCCCGCAATCGAAATACTTCAGTTTTTGGTCTTTCAGTCTTCTATTGTTTAATTTTGTTCAATACTAATACCATTCTTCACACCATCAACTAGAACTAAAAAGGTAAACAATGTAGGGCCTATTAACAAAGTCTCAAAAAGTTAAGTTAGGCAGTTTTAGGTGAGTTGGGGAAAGTAAATAATAACCTGCAGTTTTTTTTTTATCTAATAACATGTTTCCCTTTATTCACAACTTCTAATTTTATTGCAGAGGATACCCTTCCGGACGTGGATTTGGCGTCCGGCAGTTACTGTCATGGTCATAACCTAACCTAACCAACCAAACGTTAAGGGTCAGTGGAGCCCTGGGCAAACCCAAAAGCAGTGCCCCCTTTTATCCTAGTGCAGGCAGGCGGTGGTTGAGGGGCACCCTGTGGGCGCCCCCAAACCATAGATAAATGCATAATAGTAAATTGTAGGAAATTTGATTCTCTTTCGGAATAATACCTTCCACTTTGGTCGATTTCCTCAGCATTTAAAAGTTATTTGCAAAAATGTCAAGCAACCTCCGAATTTCTAGTGGTGAAAAAAGTTGGTGATTACTTTTTAGCTTTGTACAATGAAATCTTCAGTTCTGATGGATCGATTTTGTTAAATAATGTGTCTTTGGAAGACATAAACTCTTTGATTTGCTTTTTCATTTGATGTGTTTTTTTATAGCGGTAAGTTTAATAGTATAAAAGTTAAAAAGTTATAAAGCGTTAAAACCTGGCTATTCATTTGAAACACCCGGTACTGTATTGTGTTATGTCCACCTTCAATTTGATATAAAAGATGGGGCTAAGCTGTTGCTTTTAGTTTCACACAATTCCTCTGGTCATCCACACAAATTTCATTTGGCCTAAACATGACTGATATTTTGATGAACAGCATTTTGAAATTTTGATGAATTTTTGACAGCTGTTGAAAATAGGCTATCTTTGCTTGCCCAGAATGACAGCAGTTATTCTGCCGCTTTTTTCTTTTCCCTCCAAAGTGAAGTTTCTTATAGGCCTAGGTACATTTTAAATGTAACTTCGTTGGCAACTGCTGCCTGATAAACTAGCTTTTGATATGTATTTTTCAGTTAGTAAGAAAATGTCAGAAGCAAATAAGAAAAAGGCTAGAGGGAGACCTAAACAAATCAAAGAAGAACAGAACCAAGATTCCAACAACGTCAGGTCTTCTAAGAGAAAATCAGATGTGACTGATGAGCAGATTGCCAACAAGAAGTGCCGTGCAGATGTACCTAAGCTTGTCGCTGTTAGAATCGAGCATTGGTCAGTACAAAGAAAATGTTAAGTTCTTCAAGTAAAAGAATCTACAGTCGGAACCACGAAAGTTTGCAGTTGGCAGCAGCCAATCACAAGACAAGGCTAGTGCTACCTTTCCATATCGCCCGTTGACGACACTAATTAAAATACTAAACAATATTTTCAAATCAGCTGGTATTATTAGATTTGGCAACACCACACTGCCCTCATTGGCTCCATCGAAGTCACGTGGTAAATAGGCTCCTCCCTCAACTGCAAACTTTCGTGGTCCCGACTTTAGGCTAACTATTCTCAGTTAATTGATATTTTACCGGGGAAAAGTTACATTAGGCTTAGTTTCAAGATAAGTTTTACAATTGATAAAGTGAAGTGTGACCTACAATAAAACAGCTAGGCCTAACATCAATCTCTACAAGGTATGGCTAAGTACCTAGGCCAAGGTAACCTATTTTATCGTAGTTATCGTGTCAATCCTAAGGGCAAAACATGAACAATCATATAAAAAAGAGAAGCACAAAATTGTTGTTTTCCTTTTATAAATCAATATTAAGCTACAAAATTAATTGTGTAAACAAAACAAAATTTTTCAACATGTTTGCATTTTTTTAACTTTGTTGTTTTGCTAGTCCACTGTAATAGGCTACACTGTGGACCTACTCTAACTATAATGGGAGATTTAATTTAAATAAGTTACTGATAGGCCTAGCTTGAATCTTTCTTAGGTGTTGTCTCACTGACCATGAGACAGCACCGTAGATCAATTGAACCGTACATCACTTTGAATCTCATCTCCGTTGGGTCTGGCCAATTAAAACTTTGTGAAAGATGCCTAGGTCCATCTAAAGGAAATATTAAGAAATTCTTAGTAAATTGCTTCTTGTTGGAGAGTTTTACTTTCAGGCTACGATATGTATATAAATGGTGTGTTAGGCTCGCCAAAATCTTGTTTTATAAGAATTTGTTTTTTGTGTTCATTAAACTCATTACAATTTCATTAAAAAACTCATTAAAAGTAAACCAATGATTTTAGCCTACTATTGTAAACACATTTACATAAAAATTTGCCTTATTTTCCAGTGTTTCCTGACGAGTATTCAAGAAGAGGGCGGAAGAGCTTGTCGCAGCTCTCCAGCCTGTTTTCCCTCAGCTTGAGTTTTCCTACAACCCAACCAAGCCTCGCCGAGGAGCTTTTGAATTTGTGATCCTTGAAGATGAAGAAGGTAATCATATTAGAAACATAAGTACGAATAAAAACTATATAGACCTACAATAACTACAGTACATTATCCATATTATATTTTGTTCCAGTGAATCCTCTTTGAAAGAAGAAGCAATAACTGGTCTTTTTAAGTGGATAATTTATATTATCGATGAAACTCATAAATAAAATTTAACTTATGTCGATTACGTTAAATTTACACAAGCTACTGTAGGACCTGTACCTAGAACCATTTTATTTATGTGTTTGCTGTTATAAGGTGTATTTTTCTTCATTTAGACGAGTTGAAAAGTTTGCACCTCATAATAGTTTAAGGATTAATCCTACATTGTTACTATCAAACTCGTTATGTTATAAAGAAAAAAGTTATCTAACTTTATATTTTGTTACCAGAAACTGTGATTTGGAGTGGATTGAAACGTGGGCCTCCAAGAAAAGAAAAATTTCCAGAACCAGAAAAACTTCTGGAGCTTTTCAAGAAACATTTGGACAAGTAATCAGTTGAAAATTGTACGAAACTTTGACTTGTAGTTTTGGATAATTATTATTTTAAGTTTTCATGTCAAATGTGTTATCGATCTGCATTGTTTTTTTCTCGACCATCACTTTAACAGAAAATTCAATATAGTTTTACATTAGCGTAAAAGGGCCTTTATTTAATTGAGGTAATAAACTTTCCTTGTGAATCAATACATTAGAACAAGTATGTTAAGAAGTATGAGTGGTGTTCAATTTTAGGTCTGAGATCTTGAGAAGCAGAATGAAAAAAATGCAACAGTTATGACTTGAACATGGATTATTTTGTTAACTCGGTTCGAGTAAATCTTATTAGGTGTTTCTCTGTATTAGATTAGTTAGTAAAAAATGTAAAATCCACCCAAGATTTAAAAACATTGCAATTAGCAGTTTTGCTATGAAGAACACACTGAAGGAGTTTTACACAAACAAATTTGTAGTTTATTAAATTTGTATTTAACTTAAAAAAGTAAGTGTTGAGTTTTTCTGTAATGGAGAGTTGTAAAGAAGTTTTCAACATAAAAATGTTCTGTCATTATTTTTAGCCTTTGGTTTGAAGCATAACTTATAAATAATCAAAGAATTGATGACGATTGGTCAGAAAGGATTCCCACTGGCCTTTCCGATGCTTGTCTAAGATTGTTTTTGGTTACGTTTCTTACCAAATAACATTTCATAAATGGTTTTGGGTAATATTTTGCCGAGCTTTTTTGGCCAAAGTGTGTGTTAAGCAAAGCTAAGTTCAACAAAAACAATATGACGATTGGATAGAAAGGTACCAACCACTATCTTTTCTGAGGTTAGTTTTGCGTTATTTTGGCTTTGGTTTGTACATTCTTTTTTGGGCCTTTTTACTAAAAAATGTATTTTGTTCAATTATTTTAGGTTATCCATTAAGCTTTTTCTTAAGCTAAAGTTTGTGTTTAGCAGAGCTAGATTCAACAAAAACACTGTGACGATTGGATAGAAAGGTACTAACCACTATCTTTTCTGAGGTTAGTTTTGCGTTATATTTAGCTTTGTTTTGTACAAGCTTTACTTTTCAGAATATAAATCTCGTAGGCCCACATGACTAGATGTAAGACTTGAAGTACAAAGCTGTCACTTCACTCCCTAAGACATTATGTAGTTTAGGATTTAAGCATTTTTATACAAGGTCAGATTGTTACTGTTTTCTACCTTTGTAAGCTTTTTCTTTGTGTTTTTCTACTTTTATAAATAAAACACTGAAAATAAATATATTTTTCATTGTGTGACCTAAAGAGATAATTTTAGTTATGCTCATCTTATCCATGATTAGAAAACTCTCATTCATTCAATACAGGTAGCCTACATTATTTAGATGATGCAAGAATATAATACAGTGGTTTCTAATTATAAAGAAAAAAATAGATTACTGAAATGGATGTGAAAGTAAATAAATATTTAGGTTTACATTATGGCTATTACAACCTAATAGTGTATCTCATTACTAGTCCCGAAAGTGACCCTTTTTTGCGCAAGATGGTGGTTTACGAGTGAAGTGAAGCCAAGCACTGAAAAAAGTATCGAGCCCCAAAATGTAACTTTTGTGACAAGTAGTGGTTGGTAATATTCATCATGATGGAAAAAATCACACAATTCTTTTTGGTTTGCCTAATGATTCCTCAAGTTTTCACATACAATTTATTTAAAAGTAGACTGTCAGAAGAATACATACACCAGTGCTCCTGTTGAGCTGAACTGGAACTTTCTTTGGGTGAGGAATTTGTTTGTTTGGGAAAGTAATGTTTAGGAAAGGTAAGATCATGTCTTAATTGATTTGTAAAACCCAGCTGCTAGGGATTCAAGCTGTTTTTTTATTATACCGAGTGATGAAAAATTATTTTATTGTTCAGTTTCAGTTACATATGAGACTGATGATTGTTCAGTAATAGTACATTTCATAACAAGAGTAGAAAGTGAGTCATTACATATTTGAGACAATGTTTGAAGTGCGAGATTTGTCGAGCACTTTAAATGGTCGAGAATATGTATAGACCCACTTTCACTTGTGTTTTGAACGTTACTTTTCGCTACACTACAAACACTAATTATATTCTTAATTAAAACAGACATTGGATATATCTTTAGGAACATTACAAAACTCATAGCATTTTTTTAAGGTTATGCCTAAATATCTACTTTGGTTGTTGGTACAGTTTTGGTTGTTAAAAAATGAAACAGTTGGACAAAACAAAACAAATATTTGTTTGTTAAATAGGAAAAATCCAAAAAGATAGTAAACATTACTTTAGCATAGATGCTTTTACTGTAGTAAACAATGTAATGATAAATTTTGGCAGGTTTTAAACATGTAACAACAAACGGTCAATTCACAGTAGTGTAGCGAAAAGTAAAATTACAAGAATAGATTCAGGCTAATGACCATACAAGCCACACATTTTAATTTATTTTGTAGCTTAAAAACTGTCGAAAAAGTTATTTTAAAACCAAAATGTGTTAACATTAAATGTTGACTTTCTTATTGGAACTTCAAGACCCACCGACAGAACTACCATTAATGGCCCTACTGGAAAATACCATACTAGGCCTATTTGACTCAAGTCTGCAGCATATTGGGAAGTTAAAGAATTGTGAGGGCTTTGATTTTTCATATGTTTGAATAGTCAGAGCCGGAATTGGAGTACTTGCGGCCCAAAGCCTAAATACCTTGAGCGGTCCCACCCCTAAGGTGGAAAATCCTGCGATCATGGTGAAATTGTAAATCTCCAACGATCAAAAGGGACATCATCACCCATGATTGGGGAGGAATCGTGAACATCTCCTCTAAATCATGGGAACAACGTCATCAACATCCACCACCATGGTAAAATTATGAAAATTTCCCACAGGCTGCAACCAAGGACTAATCAGTATCGTCAACCACAATCGCTGTGAATTAATAATTTTTAAAAATTAAACTTTTGTTCTGAAGAATAATTTTTGTAGAATACACCGTGACCTAGTCAGACTAGTGGTGAATCCGGCTTTGTAGATAGTGTAAAATAATCCAATCAATTGAGGTAAAAAAAGAAATTTATATTTATTATTTTTGTTGTATCCGATGTGCCTTAAGACACGGCATGCTGCAGAACAGGTTAGTTTCGTAAGTAAATGGGACTTTCCCTGTGATGTCGATGGCACAAAGGTAGCATCGGGTGAGCACCACGCCGGACTTGCCCGCAGCAGCTAACAACCTCCTCTCAGCAGCAAGAGCTCTCTGTCACAAACACGATTGTATCTTGAGATTAGTTTTAAAAGCAGTGTTAGTTAATTTAAAGGATACTGACATAGACGTCACATCTATGTGGACCCTGAGCTTTTTTTTACCTAGTAAAATTGATTAGTGAACTATAGACTATATTAATTTTAAAAAGAACAAAGTTCCTCAGTGCGCTACAGTCTATAATTATATTTCCTACCTTTTCTCTATCGCTGAGTTCCAAAAATCTTTTTCTCTCCGCTTCCTCTTGTCTTCTCGGCTCATCAGCAATCCTCTTCTCCCTCTCCTTCTCTCGCTTCGCCTTTCTCTGCGCTCTTCTCTTCTCCGCAGCTTCTCTCTCTATCTCGTTCGTCAGCGCGCTGGGAATGTGAGACTTGCTATAGTCGTACTTGTCAGGGAACTGTCCCATGAAGCGACGGAAAGTGTTGCGAGTGTCTTTGTCCGGGGCAAAGTCATAAGCCGTCATCGCTTTTTGGTCCTTTGTGCATGGATTGGCACCGTTTTCCAGCAAGATCCTGAAAGAAAAATGTATTGGGTAGGTTGAGTATGTACCATTGTAACTCGATTATAAGCAGATCAATCGATCAGTAATTACTATGTGGTTGAAAATTCACAAAAAAAAAACTGTATGAAAACTTTTATAAAGAACCCTGTAGCTTTAATGGTTCCAAAGCCTAAATAGTATGGAAGTCGCAAAGTCGGTAATTTGTTCACTGGTAACCATGACAACCCATGAGTCAGGTAGACAGTGAACGTATGAAGAAAAAAGGAATAGCAAACTTTAGAATCCTGATAAACTGTGGCATTATGCCAAACTCTGAGATAGTGTTGGTTTATAGTTGTATTAGGAGAAGAGTCTAATCAAGAACAAGCTAAACTGACAACTTCAAGAGCTACGTTACGACTCAATATAAAATGATAAAACAATTGCCTTTCAACATTAAATGGCAGTAACAAAATATAATACACAATTCATTATACAAAACAGGTCAGACATTACCAGACTATTTCCTTGTGCGAGTGTCTAGCTGCGCTCTGCAGCAGGGACAGACCGTCCGTGTTGAGTTGGTTGACGGCTTCCGTCCGCTCCTCCTCGTTGATAACGGATCCCTCCTGCTGCAGTGACAACGTCAGCAGAGTCACATCACCTGCCGCACATGCCGTCACCACTTTCTGGCGGAAACTCTTTAACTCTGCGCTGAACTCTGAAAATTTGAGGGATTATTGCCGTAATTTTTCATTACGATAAGTAAAGGATTTAATCTTTTGCTGTCTGGAATTTGATGCCGCCCTTAGGTGAATCAAAAACCAAGATTTATTTCCAGTAGACATGAGAAAAATACATATACCTGTAGAAGTGAGATAGTTTTTAACATGTGGGTACTAAAGTGGACATCACATTAATTTTGACAAGCTGTAGCCAATTAAAAAAAATATATAGTTGACGCAATATAAAAGATTCTACAGCTACCAATAAATCATCCAATAAGTTGACTTGATAGACAAAAGAAGTTGACTTGATAGACAAAAGTTGGTGTATTCAACAGAAATCAGCAATTTACAACTAGGTTCATTTTTATTTAAAAACTGGCAAACTATTCCTATCAATAATCAAAGCTAAAACGTTTAAAGCTTACTACACTAGCGCAGCAAAAGGCGGAACTCATAAAACCATATAGTGAACTAACTGTATAGGCCTACTAGTCAAAACAAGACAACCAATACTGAAAGAAAACAACAATTAGTAATAGAGGGTGGGCAAATATAATGTACACGTCTTTACAGTAGGGAGAGTCAAACGAGACTGAAGTCACGTAAAGATTATAACTACAATCATTACTTTAAAATTATGTTGTTACACGAATGATGGAGTGCTACTGTAATGGTAGCTTTAGTGTAAGTAGCTAGTGTAATGGTAGCTGTAGCTTTGAATTTATTTATTATTTTTTGTCCTAGGCACGAGCCCAGAATTATTTTTTACATTACTTTGGGCTAGGTTGCAGCACTATCACTTAGATAAAATCCATCGGTGATTTGGCGGGATTTGAACCTGGGACCGAAGTCTTGCGCTCTAACCACTAGACCAACTCGCTCCCAAAAAAGAACTAAATTACAAAATTGAATGTTGATAATTTAAATCCTAAATCTAAAGAATCACATGGTGAAATATATTTCCTAGTTGTGAAATCAAATGAGAAATTGTTGAGGAAAAAGCGTTTAACGTGAACTTTTAGCTTCATCAATGTATAAATATTACTTCAAAAATTAAAAACAAACCTTTTTCTGGCGTCGGTTCTTTTTTCTTCCTCTTTCTCTTTGGTTTCTTAGGAACAGTGTCCTGGAACTCCTGCAGGCTGTCACCGAACGATATCTCTTTGTCGTTATGGATCATCGAGTGGTTGTCTTGTTCTGTAAAAGTTGGAGAAATGTTAGATATCAAAAGTATAGGCAAACTTGTAGCGATTGTTTCAAAACCTAAATATTATTAGTATAAAAATCTTTGGCAAAAACATTTCAATTTTAAATATGTTGGCTGAGAGAAACACCACTTTAAATTTCCAACTGCCCAGGATTTGAAACAAGTAATCGTCAAATAAGCCCTTAACACAACAATTATATGTACTCACTTCGCGGACTACTCAAATCAAAGTTGAGTTTTCGTCTTGTCTGCAAACTCCTTTTTTTCCACTAAGTCAACTTGTGTTTCTTATTTCTACAAACACTTGGTATTTCCCACTGAGATAGAGATACAACTGGAGGCTGGACATTCCCAGTGCGCTGAACAACGAGATAGAGAGAGAAGCAGAGGAGAAGAGAAGAGTGCAGAGCAAGGCGAAGCGAGAGAAGGAGAGAGAGAATGAATGAGAGAATTGCAAGACTTTGGCCACCATTTGTACTAGGGAATAGAGTAAATTGTACTGAGTACATTTGAACTAGGTTATTATATGTAAAGTATGTACCATTAGCTGAGTTGATTACTCGAGTTGGTAACAAACTAACAAAATTAGAGTCTGGATTTTCTAGCAGAGTTGCCGCGTCAGTGATACCTCCATTTGTATTTCTAGATCAGTGGTCATTCCACCATTTAAGCCTATATTTATCTGGTCAACACGTTGATCCCCTTGCTCTACATACTAGCAATGAATATTCTTCGTTTCTCCTGATGACTAAGGTACCTTATTATTTCTCCTCCTATCACCACCACAGTTTTTTATAATTTTTCAGTACCCAAAAGTCGATGCTAGAGCCTCTAGAAGCAACCAAAATTCTCGTTAAACTTTATTTAAAACTACTCACCAAATTCACTATCTGACGATTCATACTCTGCCAGTAGTGTGACATGTTCGGGTAACGCTCTGTCGGGCGAAGGCCTTGACTTTGCTCGGTCAATGTGCTTCTTGGGCGACTCTGGCTTAACTGGAGTGACTGTCTCCTCTATTGCCTCGTCCTTTCTCGACCTTCGAGGTGACAGCAAGGTCGAACGGAACACTTCTGGCGAGTCTACAAAGTTTGATTATGTAGTGAATTCCTTAGGCACCACCAATTGTACAAATAAAGATTTATGTAGGACAATTAATAATTTGGACCTTTTCCATTTATTCACTACCACTAATTAGTATATTAGGTTAGGTTAGGATCTTTTCCGTTAACACAGTTAGGACCTAACCTAACCTAATATACTAATTAGTGGTACTGAATTAATGGAAAAGGTACAATTATTCAGTAATCTTTACTTGATTCTACGCATAGATTTAGAAGTTTAAAAGACTTACCATACACGGTGGCAGTAGACAGTAGGCTATGCACTCGTTGTACTTCACTGAAGGTGGCTCGCCGCGTAGGAAACGGCACAGTGCGCAGACGAGGATCGGCTTTGTTCAGTGGCGCGGTCTTGCCTCCGAACAACACTCCACGGTTGAACGGCCCTACAGCGCGGTAGAAGATGAGGTGACACGCTGCTACCTCCGCTGTCCAAGCGCTCACAATCTCTTGCACATGCTACGGAGAATAAAATAGTTTGCTACACACATCGTTAGGACAGCAACGTTCGTAGTGTTTAGTTGAATTAGAATGCAGCTGATGAGTACAGAACAGAGTGATATCTGTGTAGCTATGTTGCTAACGGAGGATTGTTTCTTTAGCCATGCTTATTCATTATAAGCTCATTAAACAACAATAGCTGGGCGCTGTTTTTTTAACCATTCAAAAATCGATTTATTTTTGTTTAAAGAAATTACAGTCGAATCTCTATAAGAAAAATTTTAAGGAGCAGAGGGAAAATTTGTATTATCGAGGTATTCTGAATAAAGAGGTTCGTTTTATCGAGGTTTAAGACTGCCGTTATTTATCTTGTAGAGGTTACTCCTCCTTGCCAAACAATGACTGAGGAAGGAAGAGGGATAGTGGGGGTTTCATGTTGAGACAACCTTCTGTTTGTTTTGAAAACTACGTACTATAGAGGTTAAGATCATGAGAAATTCGTCTTATAGAGGTCCCATTCGTCTTGTAAAGGTTTTTGTACTAAGAATATTTGTTGTATAGAGGTTAATCTGTCCTAGCCCATGTCACAAACTAATTTCTCTTATGAAGGTTTTCAACCTAATTACTACGTTGTATAGAGGTGTTTTAGCATTTTAGCACCTTTAATGAAGGTTTCAAGGGTATCTAAACAACTTTGTCTTATCGAGGTATTATTTTTCCGAGGTTCATACTAATGAAGTTTGACTGTAATACTTTAACTGCTATGCTGAGTGAGTAGTACCTGTGTAAGAGCCTGTTCGTTGTAGCGGCGCAGACTGGCTCCAGCACTCTTGGCGTGTTTGCCGCTGTTATCCTTCCCACTCTGTCCGCCTCCCTGCTTGGCTCTCACTGTGTAGCTGTGGAACGTCTTGTGTTTGATGGCCTCCGTCCCTGCAACAAGATTATTTTTCAGTACTTCACGTGCGGGTGAAAATTTTAAAAGTGAAAAAACATGAATTTTAAAATCTGGGACTTTTCTATTCATTTTCACTATGAACATAATAACTTCAATTTTCCCATAAATTAGGGATGGACGGGATTGAATTTTTAGTTCGGGACGGGACGGGATTCTTTTCTGTGCATAAAAAGAAAGTACTGTATTGCAAGTACCAAAAAAGACATACGAAATCAATTTTTACCATTTGTGGCACTGATCTATAAAAACCAAAAAATGGGTAACAATTTACAGGTACCTATAGAAACTTGTGACTCGCGGGTCACGGGTTGATCGTCTGTATGACTCACGGTCAACGGTCATGGCGCGATCATCTTCATGACTCGCGGTCACGGCGCGATCGTTGGTATGACTCGCGGTCACGGCACGATCGTTGGTATGACTCGCGGTCACGGAGCGATCGTCGGTATGACTCCGCGGTCACGGGGTTATCGTCGGTATGGCTCCACGGTCACGGCGCAATCGTCGGTGCGGTATGACTTGCGGTCACGGCGCGATCGTCGGAATGACTCCGCGGTCACGGGGTTATCGTCGGTATGACTCGCGGTCACGGCGCAATCGTCGGTGCGGTATGACTTGCGGTCACGGCGCAATCGTCGGTATGACTCCGCGGTCACGGGGTTATCGTCGGTATGACTCGCGGTCACGGCGCGATCGTCGGTAGGACTCCGCGGTCACGGCGCGATCGTCGGTATGACTCGCGGTCACGGCGCGATCGTCGGTAGGACTCCGCGTTCACGGCGCGATCGTCGGTAGGACTCCGTGGTCACGGCGCGATCGTCGGTAGGACTCCGTGGTCACGGCGCGATCGTCGGTATGACTCGCGGTCACGGCGCAGTCGTCGGTAGGACTCCGCGGTCACGGCGTAATCGTCGAAATGACTTCGTCTCCTGCGTTCGCGGACCTATCGCTCGCAATAACGGCGTTATCGGCACTCGCGAAGCGGAAAAATCGCCGACGATCGGACCAAATCCCGTCCCGAAAAATTCCCGAGTCAAATGTAATCCCGTCCCGATAATCGGGAATATTTTTTTCCCGAAAAATTCCCGAAATTTCGGGACCCGTCCATCCCTACCATAAATTAACAACCACATCAAACTCATTAATATACTACAAACTAGATTTTTAAACAAACAGACTTTGTTCCACCAATATCTCATATGGTCAATGTTTTCTAATACCTATAAACAATGATACAAATTTAATTTTTAGATTATATTCTAAACTTCCCGCTATATAAGAAAGGATATGGCACAATATTGAACTATTTCAAAGTCAAATCTGCTAAGTACATACCCTACTGCAGTTAGTTTTCCAGTTGCCAACTCACCTTTGAATATCGCAGCTGCCATATGTCCTCCGCCCAGCATAATAATCATCCACTGGTTCTGGATGGGCAGTTGTAAAGCAGACGACACCAGCTGTTCTTCAGTTGGTAACTCTGACTGTAAAATCAGCTGATTAGTCATGGCTAAACCTACTAATCATTCTTAGAAAAGCCACTTTTTAAGAGTAATCCTATGGTTTAAAATCGTACAAATCCTGATTGTAAATTTTGAAGCTTCGTTTTTCGTGTCTAGTTCATGTACAGTGACACTGATGGCTAGTGTCGACAAAATTTAGTTTATATTATCTTATATTATCTATGGATATGCGTTTCTGTATTTATTATACCATCTTCAGATCCTTTACAAAACTTGAAGTTTTTCGACACATGATTTCCTGTCAGTTTTTTAAAAACCCAGTCAGAAAACATTTAGTCACGAATATTCGTTTATGTGTTTAATGTTCGTGGCATTTTGAGTGTACTATTGACAAAATGTTTATCACGTATTAAAATGGATTAGGCTAAACTATTTGTGTTCATTGGTTAGAACTTAGGAGAAAGGAGAACAAACAATTAATTTACAATTTTAGAAGTCTGTTCTTTTTGGTTTAAAAAACGATTAATAACAACTGGGCTGGATGTAGTTTCGAACGATCAAAAAGCTTGAGAATTTTTTCATGATTGAATCCACACCTTTTTACACCAGACAAGCACTATATTTACACAGCAACCCAGCCCAATGGAATTTTGCTAAATATACGGATAGAATGATGTTACCTTTTTACTATGCACCAAGCATTGATAGACAGATATCAGTTTCCCCGATTGGTTCTCAAACAGTAGCCGAGCCCTCCGCGCGACCAGGTGGCTCAACCTCTCGTCTGAAAGGTCTTCCGTCTCCGTCAGAGAGCCGAGCTCAGACTCTGACTCCGTCTCGGATCCCGAGATACTAGACACATCGTCCTGCTCTGTAAATTCAATAAAGTTGCGATTGAAGGTACCGCATCTTTCCCAATTCATACCACTAATTTGTATGCAATAATACACAATCTCAATTATTACATATGTTACAAGTAATTCTACCCAAGAATCGTTTAAGCATGTAATTTTCCATGTTATTATTGCCTGAATTTACAGTAGTCGCAGCTAGTCTGGGCGTGCGGACCCTTGTGTACTAACCGTCCCCCACGCCAAAGCCATGAAGACAGCGCTGAGGCACTGAACAGCCCCAGAGAGCCGTGTGGGCCAGATGTTTTTGGAAATGAGCAATAAACACTCCCCTCTACACCCCCCGCCCTAGCGCGGCCGCGCGCCCAGACTAGCTGCGACTACTGTACCTAAGACATCAGCTACTGATAAGCTTCATGCTTGGATTCTGGTGGGGTTAAATTTTATTCAATCTACAAACTATGTTTACATAACCTCTCAATTGGATGTTTTAGCTCATGTCTCGGTTCTAACTCAAACAAATCTTATCCTAAACCGAATGAATATGTTTATAAAATTTCAACTTGAACATAACACAGTGTAATAGGCCTAGTCACTTCACGAGGAAAAAGCATAGAATTTGTTATTACTCAATCAACTATAGTAGTTTGATAGGTACTTCACTCAAAAGGCAATCTCACAAAACACATGCGTTACCAACACAACTAAGTAACTTACCAGTGATCTGATAGAACCTATCCTCAGTAAAGAGTTTACGATTGGCCAGATGCTGCTTTAGGTTGTATCTGTGCCAGTCCATCTTGTAGTGATGTCTCTGTTGCGACTGATCGGAGAAACTGACATCACAGAACGAGCAGAACAGACGGTCGGAGACATTCAGTTCTTGGATCAACTGGCGAGCATCTTCCTCACCTGAGAGATTTGCGTTTTAGACATAAACATTTTTTACATGGATTAGGAAAATGTACGTTTGTTTGGTACAGAATTTTTTAGTCTAAAATATAAGGCTAAGTATCAAGCAGGAGTGATTTTTTTGTTTTGAACTTATTGTGGACAGAATGGTTACTGTGACTACTTTCTTTCTGGTATAAAAAATTTAGACCCAGGATCACTCATGAATATAATGGTTCAATTTACCTTATACCTAATTTTTCCAGTGATTTAACTGTCGTCTAATTGGCAACCAGGCTAAAGATAATCTCATCAGGGTAGGCTACAGTTTGAATGTAACATCACATGTGAGTTAGTACTGGCCAGTTGTAAATAATGCCCTTCCGTTCTTTCATGCTTTAGTCTATGTTTATCGTCACTGTTTGCGAGTATGCCAATGATCTCAAGATTCAGAGTCAGACAAACATGAGAAACCAAACAATGGAATGAGATTTTGAGTAGGCATAATTGCTAGAGATGTGACTATTGGTTAGGTTAGGTTAGGATAGGGTGATCATGATAGTGAACTGGGATACATCTGGAGAACTTACTAGTCAAACATGGTGTCTGCTTCAGTCGGACTAGAGGAGAAACTTGGATGCCTTTTGTTAGTCGGCAAAAGCTCTCTTCATCAAAGATTGAGCAAGTAGATACAGTCTTCACCTCTTCTGCCATGACAGTTTTCTAGAAATAAGGTTAAATTAGTTTTTGAGTTTAGTTTTTTTTTTTATTAGGCCCTAAGTTAGTTGGCAAAATTGGTTCACAAAATTAGTTTTATGTATTATCACAGAGAAAAAGTAAGTTACAAGCAGAGGATACAGTGAAGCGTATGGGAATTGTGAGAGTGTAGGCCTAGATCCTGGGTGTGAATCAACAAAAATTCAAGAGTTCTTGAGATTGCAACGCGGATTCAGTGCACTCATGCCAACACAACTCCCACACACTTAAATTATGTAATTCCTTATGTGTTCATGTAAAAGACTATTAGAATAACTTATCCTTATCATCAGCATATTCCGCTCCTCGCTAAAACAATAACTTAAGGGGGTGGCAATTGTGCTTTGAGAATTGTTGGAAAGTAAATAAAAGAAAAAGTCTTATAACACTTACAACATATATTTAAGCTTACTGTTACTCACAAGACGGCAAATATACACAAAAGATGGTAAATGGTTAGTGGTTGTTGTGAGTGGGAAATCCAAAAACCTAGCAGTAAGTAGAAGCTTATTCCTTGATTTGCCCACTTCAGGAACTTCTATAAAATAGGTTAAGCTATAACTTACAGGCTAAAGCGCCAAAGGTACACTTAATTTAGCCTATGTTTAAAAAAATAAATATTCTTTTAGCCTATGTTAAAGGTTTTATTTCAGGAAAGATCTAACCCTTTGTTATTGACAGGTTCTGTTTAATTAAGCAAATACATATCAGAAACTAATTCTTATCATGGAAAAATAGAGTGAAGCCTAGGCTATGGTGCAATAAGGAGAGATTGGTGGCAGAAAAAAATAGCCTACAATTTATAGACGTTATTAGCCCTTATTGTAAGATAAGCCTAACCTTTTTAGTCTTTGCTAAGAAAAATGGCAAATAATCATCAATTAGGAACAATTTTATTACCTCCGGGTCAGTCGTGGATTTTAATGTCAGGTTGTGTATGTTGAGATTGTGAAATTGATAACCTATAATCTTTTTTCCAGGTAATTTACGTCGACGTCTGGTCGTCTGGTCTCGGTCTTTGGTGTCGTCTGCAGTGCAGTGTTTCCAGTTCCACACTAACAACACAAAAATCCCGCTAACCAGGTCAAGAAGTCCCATTTTACCCCGCAACCCGTTTTAATCCCGGACATTGTCGAACCACATCGAACACCCTGTTTTGGGGGGAAATCCCGCCTCCCGCCTGTACAAACACCGCAACCCGCAACACCAAGTGCTGCTCCAAATGGCTAACTAAATAACTACCAGCATAAGGATCCAGATCGTTTAAAACTTTCCCGAACGAAGGAATGCAGCAGCTCCCAGCTAGGGTAAAAGTACTACAAAAGTCCCGCTTACCAGGTCAATAAAATCCCGTTTTATCCCCCACTCAATTTCGATCCCCCACATGGTCTACAAATCCCGTTTTCAAGTAAATAATCCCGCGTGGCCGCGTATGTAATCTACGCCTTTTTCTTTAGCTTAAAAAGGCTGCCTATGATTTTTCGATGGGACATCAGAGTTTTTGTCTAGTGCTCGCGCCCATCAAGGTACTATCATTGACTACTATCTACACTCTGTAGATATAAAGTCAATGGTAATATCCCATTAAGAAGTTTTTTTTTTGCAATCACTATACCCATAACCAACACCTTTACAGTACAGTAAATCTGTTACTAGGGGTAGCGGGTTGTCATGTACATTTCCGTCATTCCACTACAACACCACACACCACACACACACACACACATGTTAGCATTATACAAAAGTCAAAGTAAAATTTGGCGAAAAAGATGCATCCTTGATAAAAATCGTCACCAATATGATCTGAAGTGTGTTATCATCTACGCTCCCATCAACCTGCCACCAAGTTTTTCGAAGTAATGTCATGTAGTGTAAACTGCAGGCACTCTCCTATCAACCCACCCCGGCACCACACACACCGGTGACAAACACCAACCCCGACAACAAACCTCCACACTTAGAGGTAGTTCTTCTCCGACAACCAGTCACCACGTCTTTTTGGTGGCAAACGTTGGGGTCTCCTTTATAACTAAATAACTCTTTTATTTCACTCTTATGTGGTTTTTTATCAGAATTTATTTTACAATCTGTTCAAGCAAATATGAAAACCATAAGTAAAATAGGTAACATAAAAGATGGCAGGAAGCAAGCACCAGTCATCAACAAACTGCCAAAAATTGGATCAATCATTTAAGTATTTACAGAAATCTGTAGCTTAGGTCCAGCACAACACTTTTTAATCTGGTAATGCACTGACTATTGTCCAGCAGATTAACATCAAGACTGTTCGGATGACATTCTAATTTTTCTTGATATTTTTTTCTAAGGTCTGTAATTTCTTCTTTCACTGATTTGATTTTGAAGTAATTCCTAATTGTAGTATTGGATACGAACCAGGGTGCGCCAATAATTCTTCTCAGCGTCTTAGCCTGAAATCGTTCAAGAATTTCGATGTTGGATTCTCTTATGTGTAACCTACACATTTGTTTGTCTTCATACGAAATAGTAAAGTATGTGAAATTAATGTTCTAAATTAAATCATTTATTGATCCAGCATTAACAATGTATACAAATTATATTGGCTAAGTCAAAATGAAATAAAAGTCGGATATATATACTTAAGAACTATTTTTTCAGATATACAATCTTATACAATATACAATGGTGCAGATATATATATTTACATCACTATTCATGAAACTGGATTTAGATGGAAATTCTTGGACGCTGTAACAGGTCAACTTAATCAACAAAGATTTAAATTGTCTTTTAAATTTTAACAGGTTTGGTTCAAGTTCAAGAAAAAGTGGAAGTGAATTAAAAAGTATTATGCCATTGTACAGAAAATGCTTCCATAGATAAAACATACTTGAGAAGTATGTTTTATAGATCAAACATACTTGAGGACTATGTTTTATCTATGGTGCTTCTTAAAAAAAGTTGTCGAATGTTTAGGAATATATATATGTAGGAAATATAGTTTAGGAATAGGTAATGTGTGTTAATTGCTGTTGGATACTATTTATATTAATAGTAAAAAAATATACAGCTTAACAAAATCTTATTATAGATAAAACCATGGGGTCCCAGATTATTGACATCACAAATTATCTTCATAGAAAAAATCGTTGGCTTAAGTATTCAGTACGTTGAAATTTTGCTAGGATTGCAGGTAAACAACATGCCATATAGTCAAGCCTACTAAACCAAGAAGGATCAGAATCAGAATGTCCCTTTTTTAAGTTCTTCTTTTTACTTCCTCCTTTGATTCGGCCATCATCAAATTTGTTGGTCTTTTCTTCCGTGTTAGAGAGAAACATCAACCAACCACAATGGTAAGATTCTTATGAGAAAGTTATCTCTTAATTTTAATACAATCTCTTATTATACTTTCAATTTTTTGGAATAATCCAAACACATTTTTATTGTTGTCTTAAATAAAAAGTCTTTAGCAATTTCTATCCTGTATATAACGTAATAATAGGAGTAGCTGTCAAGACCTAACCTTAAAAGCCTTTAGAGCAACGAGTCCTAGTTGATTGCATATAATTTATATTAGATTTTATAACGTTATATTTTCATCCTACATATTGTTGTATAGACATTAACCCTCCGAGTGTCACGTGTTTTGGCCTTAATGTCAGCCTATTTTTTGCTCATTTGCAAGGTTTTTAAAACTGATCTGAGAAGCTTAAAAACAATGTTAATTATACTGTTCTATATACCATTTTGTTTGGAAAATCTTGGGCTTCAATATTATATATAAAACATAAGGAAGATTAAAAAAAAAAAAAATTTTTTTAGGTAAAAAAATGTATAATTTCGAAAATTTTCAAAAAAAAAATAAGTTTGCGCTCAATGAAATTGTATAAATTATAGGCCTATAAATATTTGAAAATAGCCACTTTGTTCTAAATTTTATGAGGATTACAAATCTATAATAATATAAGGAAGTAGATTTGCAAATAAAAAAGTTATGGGCAAAAAACAGATTTCAGTACATAGCGTTTAGCTAAGAATGCATAGCCCAACCATAGCTAGGAATCTGGCTGATAATTTACATCAATATCACTACCTACTTCTTCAGGATCATCAACCAGCACTTCAAAACCACTTAAATCTTCTTATAATGCACCACGTATATCACTACTTTTGATTTTTAACACTAAAACAATGATAAACGTAATAAAACACATCAGTCATCGGTCCGAGGGTAACCTAGCTGTTTACAAATACACGCACGTCAGCTCAGTCAGCTGTCTGCTACAATATTTTCGGAACTAAAATGAATAGTGCTTAGAGACAGACCTCTGCAGAAAGCTTAGAATATTACGGACAGAACGATACCTAACTCAATCCAGTACAGTCCGATTCAGTTAGTCATAGAGCCTTCGCCGTAAACAGTGTTCGCGAGTCGCTGCAGCGACGCACGACACTATACAAAGTGCGTTACGCGTCGCTGCAGCGACGCATGACACTCGGAGGGTTAAGAGTTACTAAGAAAAATGTACAATTTATTGACTAATTTAGGCTCAAGTAACTAACGGTAGGCTAAGCTATGTATTTTGAGCCCTCTGGGTAGAGTACTGTATGCTTGAATGTTGTATTCACTGATTAAGTTAGCCTTTGTTAATTTGGGTACACTTCCATATCTGTTGGCACAAACAACCGAATGAGTAATATTGATTATTCGATTGTTTAATTCGTTGAATAATTGATAGGCCTATATCGATCGATATTTTAATTCGGTTGTTTGTGCCAACAGATATGGAAGTGAAGGCCTACTCGTTAATTTGCCTTTAGTTAATTGTTTTTCCCCTCAAAAGCCCTTAAAGAAAGTAATTGTATTAGTGGTTGCATTGTTTCATTCCACAAGTTATTAGGCTTAGGCCTAAAGTAAAAGATTTTATCTAGGTAGGAATGTCGCGATACTATTAATACAAACTTATCAGATGCATTGATTTAGAAAAAAATTTAGTAGGGACTAAACTTGGGTCTAGTTACTGTAGGGTAAGGTCTTGGTTGTGTGAAAGTTATTCTGAAGATAAACTTATTTGGGCCTAAATAAAACTCAAGTTTATTTAACCCTCCGAATGTTATGTGTCGACTTTGTGTAGTGTTTTGTGTCGATTTTTCGACTCACAATCACTGTTTACGGCGAAGGCTCTATGACTGACAAAATCGGATTGAACTATTTAGGTATCGTTTTATTTGGCAGATTATAAGCTTTCTCCCGAGGTCTGTCTCTAAGCGCTTTTTTTCTCGAGCCGATCATAATTGTAGCAGACAGCTGACGTGCGTATTTGTAAACAGCTTGGTTAACCTCGCACCAATGACTGATGTGTTTTATTACGTTTATCATTGTTTTAGTGTTAAAAATCAAAAGTAGTGATATACGTGATGCATTATAAGAAGATTTAAGTGATTTTGAAGGGCTGGTTGATGATTCTGAAAAAGTAGGTAAATGTAAATTATCAGCCAGATTCCTAGCTATGGTTAGACTATGCATTCTTAGCTAAACGCTATGTACCAAAATCTGTTTTTTGCCCATAACTTATCTATTTGCAAATCTACTTCCTTATATTTTTATATTTTTGGAATCCTCGTAAAATTCTGAACAAAGTGGCTATTTTCAAATATTTATAGGCCTATAATTTAAGGGTTTACAATTTCATTTAGCACGAACCTATTTTTTTTTTTTGAAAATTTTCCAAAATATTTTCTTTAACCTAAAAAATTTTTTTGAAACAAATGTTCCTTATGTTTTATGTATAATATTGAAGCCCATGACTTTCCAAAAAAAATGGTATAGGCTATAAAACAGAATAATTAACATTGTTTTTAAGCTTCTTAGATCCGTTTTAATAAAACCTTGCAAATGCGCAAAAAATAGGCAAACATTAAGGCCAAAACTAGGGACACTCGGAGGGTTATGTTAGGCCTACTTGGGTAGGCTTCCGTATCTGTTGGCACAAACAACCGAACGAAAATATCGATTAGGTTATTCGATTGTTTCATTCGATATATATTGTTTGGTTAGTTAGATTGGGCCTAGGTTAACTTTACCTAACTAACCAAATGATATATCGATCGATAGTTTCATTTGGTTGTTTGTGCCAACAGATACGGAAGTCTACCCGCCTACTGCAGTTTTGGGTTATCTTGGTTAACTTATTTCAATCATGGACGTCATGTTTAAAAAAGGGATTTTTTACATTATTATGATTCTAGGCCTAAATCACGTTCTGAATTAAAAAATAACCTGTCTTTTCCCCTGGAAAGTTAATGTAAATTAACATGGTAAATCGGAAAAACAAAGTAATGTTTTATAAATATGTTGATACAAATTTAGGGTAAACTATTTAAATTGTGTGAGATTTCATGCTGAATTCGTATAACAGGCCCATATTATGTAATTATTTTAATATTAAATGTGCGTGTTAACATCCTGCGCAAGGACTATTTCAAGTCTATAAATCCTGCCAAATGAAACATCAAGTTAGGCCCAAGTTATGTAACTTTATAAGATAGCTTACTGATATCTTATAAAGTACTAAAGTAGTCCTAAGTTAGGCTATTTTTAATCTTACAACCTGTGCAAGCTGTGATGGATGACAAAGGGGGAGGGGAGTATGTTACTCAAGTTAACTTTAATTTTTTTTTTCAGTCAACTGCCAAGAAGAAGACCAGGAAGCTGCGAGGACATGTCAGCCATGGACATGGTAGAATTGGTAAGTAGGCTTGGGTTAAAATTTATTTAGGTAAGGCCCTATTCATAATTTTTTTTACTTTCCCTCATTAATGAATTAGCCCAAACTGAGACAGACATCTAATGCGACTCATATAGCTGTCACCCATTTTTGTTAAGTATGAAACAAGTTTAAGGCCGCGGTATTCAAACTGTGATTTATTTATTAAATAATTTAAATTTTGTGAATGTCAATTACTGTAACTTATTTGTGCCAACAAAAGGCTATGTTTAAATTAATTACTAAGTTATGTGTCAATGGTGTCTTTTGCCTCCAGGTAAGCACAGGAAGCACCCTGGTGGTCGAGGTAACGCTGGTGGTATGCACCACCACCGTATTAACTTTGACAAGTACCATCCTGGATACTTTGGAAAGGTAAGAAAAAAATTAATGTTCCTAGTTTGGCCTACGATGATTTCAATTTTATTGTTACATCTTTGGAATAGGCCTACGGTATCTTTTCTCTAAAATAATTGTAAAGCTTGTTAAATAAAATAATTTTTTTTTTTCTGAATTCTATCACATAACACTATAAACCACGCAATTGTCTAGTCAATTGAAATGTGGGATTTTTTACGAGAAGGTTTTTCACCCCAACCATCGATACTTTCTTGGGTTTATAAAAGTAAAAATAGATAGCCTTAACTTTCACTAGGCCTATTGAAAATAATTCCCTTGCGCTCAAAAGTTGTTTATTAGTCAATTTTTTTAAACATTCTTATAATTTTGTATTCAATGGTGGCACTTACATGATGATAAAAATTTCACCGGCGATCTGACTCGTTGTGATTGTACTATTATATTATCTGATGCTATGCCCTCAAAAGGCAATTGGAAATATTGCTATGTGAATCAGTGAATGCCAGCAATTAAGTCATGTTTGTTTCTAGTTGGGTATGAGGAACTACCACCTCCGTCGCAACCAGAAATTCTGCCCGACCGTGAACCTCGACAAGCTCTGGACTCTGGTCAGTGAACAGACGAGGCTCAAATACAAGAACAACCCCGAGGGCAAGGCTCCTGTCATTGACGTTGTCAAAGCGGTGAGTTAATCAGCTTGTTCGGTATCACGCGCCACTTGCAGTTAGTGTTAGTACCGTCCTGTTCTTTAAGGCACATGTTTTTTGTTACAATCTCTTTAAATTTCAGTTAGGCCTACAGTATTTCAAAACTAAGTTAGTCCAACCAAATATATTGATTTCAATTACAAACAACAGCTTTTACTCCAATTTATCCAACCAAACAATAAAGCATGAATCATAAAATTTGACTAAAACTAAGAGAAACAAAATTTTGTCAACATTAGTGCTTGCTTGACGTCAGATGAAAACAAGTAAGTTCTATTTCAGCGATGTAACTAAGTTCATGAAGTAAAATTTCATCAGACTATTTTTTATGAATGCAAGAAAGACCCTAATCGTTTATTTTTCTTGTTTCAGGGCTACTACAAAGTCCTTGGAAAGGGCAGGATACCCAAGCAGCCTGTGATCGTTAAGGCCAAGTTCTTCTCCAAGAGCGCCGAAGACAAGATTAAGGCAGTTGGTGGAGCCTGTGTCCTGCAAGCGTAATTTTTATAAATAAAACTGTTAAAATTTTCATAGCTGATATTTTTTTTCCTTTTTATTCAATTATTTCCAAGTTAAAGCTGAGATGCTTAAAGTAAGCACCTTCTTTAGGGTTAGATAACCAATTTGCAACTGTATTTGGCCTGAGCGCCGAACACATTTAATAAAGAAGCTTTGACAAATTAAGGGTTTGACCTCAAAAGTCTACAAAGATATAAGGAAATTTTGATTTACAATAAAGTTCAACTCCAACTAAACGCCCCAAAGTAGGATCATATTTAGCTTTATTTTACAAAACAGAAAACCTAAGTACCGTAAAACGGGGTAACTTGAGACAGTGTGGTAACTTGAGACAATTTGCAGATTTTTTTTTACATTTTTTTGTTGGCATACCTGATGAGTTATTGGGAGTTTCCTTAGTGTGAACACGTCATGGAAGTTGATCCCTTAACTACTGCATATTAAGACATATTGTAATATTCAAGTTAAGATTCTTTATTTATTTATTTAATTTGAGTTACAGATGTTGAAAAATTTATAGGCTTTATAACTTACCTTGTAGCATCAAGTCTATTATTAGGAATTCAATAATTGTTATTACTTACCTAACCTCAAAAGCTGAGTTGTCAATAATAATCTTCCCACTAAGCTATTGCCAACCTAAAATTTATAAAAAAATAAAATACCCTGTTCTGTCCTTGGTGGGGTAACTTGAGACAACTGATTTGACGAAGAAGGTGCTACAGTCAGTGCTATGAAGCGGACTCTGAAGGATAACTGGAAATGGCCGGAAAAAAAGGATGAACTTGACTATCGTTGGGAAGATATTGTTGGTGGTACCCCCCTAAAATGATCAATAAGAGGGTTTTTTTTCTGTGTTAAAATTTACTTAGTTATGTCTGACATTGTGAAAAAAAAATGTTCCCTCTTTTTTAAATACATTTTTTTAAGTTTGTAAGTTCATATGTGTATTCCTTTGTTTTCCTAAATATTTTATTATATCTCAAGTTACCATTGCATTATCTAATTTGAGACAACTGTTGTTTTAACATCTGTGTCTCAAGTTACCCCATTAATATGGGTAGCTTGAGACACTAATAAAAATAGATAAATAAATAAAATTTCTATAATTACACCAATTATTAAATGTAGAAACCATAGTAACCAGGGTAACTAATGTTTTATTCTAGTTTTTGCAGATTTCCCTATAAAATTGTTTGGTAGGGGTTTCTTTTAAGTTGAAAAATGTCTCAAGTTACCCCGTTTTACTCGGTATTTCAACTACTTTTTATCCAATCTCTTTGAGTTTGGTGTCATTTGAGAGAACATTTCAAATTTAAACAGTAATAGGCCTAATTTATTAGTTTTCTTGAATTTTGTTCACAAAATTAACCTGCCTCCCATTTTAAAATTTTGAGTTATGGTAAGCAAAATATGTCCTAAAACAGGTCTCAAAGATTGTTTGGAACAATTCAAAGATATAAATGTTAATGAAAAAATACAAAATGGATATCTAGTTAACAAAGAGTTGAAGACCAAAGAACTCGTTCGTGCAGTTTGGCTGTTTAACTTGCATGCAGGACACCTTTTCTTTAAATAATAGTGTTTGTGATAAGAAGACAAAAGAAGAGCCCTGAAGATGCCACACTATGCAGAGAAATGCATTGGGTTACAAAAACATCTCACCTACAAGAACTCAAGACAACAAGTATATCTTTATAGGTTACTAACAGAGTAGGCGGTGGGGCACACGGGAGGGACTAAGGCTAACATATCTTGTAGTGTCAGCGTTTGCCGCTAGAACCGCTAAGTTGAAAAAATTTTATTTTATTTCTAGTTATATAATTAACTTTTTAATTATAAAATATTGTTTTAAAATTATAAAATAAATTTTTAATTTTTAAAATAAAACTGTCATAACATAACCTAACCAACCAGACTTGCTGATAATATAAAAACTGTATAAGATAAAAATCTAATTAATGATTACTTATAATTTTTAATTAATTTTAAAATTTGGTATTATAAAATTGAACTGTCATAACCTAACCTAACCAACCAAACTTGCTGATATGAAAAATTTGTTGACAAAAAGTTAGTGCTTTCAGCGGGATTCGAACCCGGGACCTCCTGAACATCAAATCGAGACGCTACTAACTATGCCACGAACGCCGCTGAAAGCACTTCGTTTCGTTACGGTAATCGTGTTGCCTCAAGAGTAGACATTAGCCACTAGAGATATGACGTCACTTCACCTTTAGCCTTAGTCCCTCCCGTGTGCTTATTCCGCAGAGTAGGTACCCGTCCTTTGTATGGGGTTGGCATATAAGTATAAAATGCTTATTGCTGTTATGCTCAAGCTTTGCGTTTGCAATGGGATAGGACACAGTTTGATAAAATTTGCTTTTTCAAATTTACGGTATACTATAGTATTACACATCTACCATAGCCATAATGTTCTACCACTTCACCTAATCAATGGAGGAAAATAAATTATTATAAATAATTTGCATAATACAGTAGAACCTCTTTAATCTGAATTAATTGGGACCGGGGGTAGTTCGGATTACAGAAAATGTTGTTTTTATATAACAATAGCTAGGGAAAAGTGAAAAATGTAAAGTAAAATACAGTGTTTATTTAATACAGTAGTAAACATAGGGAATAAACAGTACTGTACATTACAATTGAAATAATTACGGTGCGTATATCAATAAATACAGTATACAATAGAAAACTACTGTTCTGTGTTTAGAGTACAGCAATGAGGCGTTCGGATTAAATAGGTTCTACTGTACCACAAATTAAGAAATTAAAAACATAAACATAACTGTAAACGATCCTACTTTGACAACTCTCATTGCATATCACAGGTTTTTGTTGCTGCTTAGTTCAAACCAGTAGTTAATGCGTGATTAAACTTCAAACACACAAACTTTCACATTTATAATATTAGCAAGATTAACATTTCATAGGCACAGTTTCATTTCTAGAAAAAGTTGGGTATTGAATATTGCTAAAAGCTTATGGGAAAACTGTGCGTTTTTAGCTCTGGTATGTTGGGGCGGAAGTGTACCTGCACACAGCAGGGTAGGCCCAGGCCTTCTCAAAATGTTAGTATATTTCAAAATTATTAAGAAATGATTCATAAATAAACTAAAAGCATTAGAACTCATTATTTTGCATTTTAATTTAAACATACTCCCATTGGGGGAAGCCAACACCCCGCCCCCCAATCAAACTCTTCGAGCCTGCCAGGCCTACCTAAAAAATTATTCCTGGTACCGAGCCAGGAAGAGACTGGCAAAGACACATAGCATTTTTGTTTAACTGTTGTAGAGCACAAGGTCTTCCTGCAGAGGAGCGCTGTAGTACTTGACGGCAAGGGGGGAAAGGAGCCGACGAATATCATTTGCTCCCAAGATACTAATTAAGTGTACCATTCTGTGTATCCTCTGTACTTCTTTGTAGTGTTACAAACCAAATTAACCCGGCAGAGGTCTCACTGAGTTGAAAACTTGAGATGATTGCAATCATTCCAACCAGAAAAAATGTATTTTTCCAGTAAGCATTATTTAAGGCTATTTTCAGTGGCGGCCTTAGAGATTGCGGGGCCCAAGGCGAAGTTCAATAGCGGGCCTACCTAAAATACGGCTACGCGGGGCCCCAGGCACTGTTTGCCTTTATGTAGGGCCGCCCCTGGTAAATTTATTTCCTCAAAATGGTAAATACTGTATTATATTTAATTTACAACCTTCTGAATATGTTTAAGATAGAAAAATGATATGGACAGATGTAATAAAATCATACACCTTGAATGGTTTGTTTCATATTCAATAATTAAGTAATAATTAAGTTGTTAAGTAACTTACAATAATTTAAACACTACAGCCAAATAAAATATGCAACAAAGATGAGTACAAGTCCTCTTAATGCAACTTTCTACAAACTAAACAAACAACCTTCCTATTCCTATTAGGAAAATTTAAACAAATTTTTGTTTGTTTAAAAAGGTTTGGACAATATTTCACAGTTATGTAGTTATTTTAAAACTAACCTAACAAAATCGAAAATATATAAACTCTAAACTGCAACGTAAACATACAGACAGACCAGACTGTACACAACACAGTAATCAGCTGTGCAAATTAACTAGTCTACTATTGGTTGATGCATAACAAAATTTTGATTGGTTGACTACATTTGTCTAATAAACAGCTGTTGACAACCTCCTGTCAACTTTGGTGTGGTGTAATCTGCAGCCAGTTTAACTGACACATGGTACTATAACAAGTGATTTTTCTCATTCGTAATCTCGGCCCATCTCGTTCTTATTACTAGACGCTCGGCACGTAAGTCATGCCTTCCCTAAAACCAAAGTGTTCAGTGTGCGTGTTCGTGTGGATAAGATGAGATTTCTTCTCGACTTTTCAGTTAACAAATAATCTAGTTTTACTCTACCGGCCCACTCGATCAGTCATTCCTTTGAACTCTTTGAAGAAGAGTGATGCTATACATTATTCCGTCTTCACTATAACGTGCAATTTTTATACCATTCAAAACTTCACAAAAATGGGAGCAAACATGATCATAGTACTGAGTCCTGCATCAGACTTTTTTATTCTGTGATGTTAGACACTCACTGTTGAACGATTTTTAATTATTTACTGTGGGATTATGCACTATGCTGAACCACCAACAAACTCAATGGCACAAGATTTTAAAGTGTTGCAATTTCATGAATAACGTTTTTAGCTGCCTAAAATGAAAGAAAAGAAGAAAAACACATTATCCCTTTCCGCCTTTCCCTCCCCACATTCCATTCCATTGCGTCCATGCTTCTGCCGAGGTGAGTTGCGCTTCTTTTCCTGATTCAATTTGATCTCTTTACATCAGTAATATATCTGTCAATTGCACTTTTTGGCAATGTGAGAAATGATTACCTTACTACCCCCTTTTCAAATTTTGGTTATTCCTTATTGAATGGAAGAAATTTCCAAATTATTTAACTTCCTCATCTATTAGGTTAGAATCCACCCAGGATTAACTATAGCCTAGCCTACGTAAAGGGTCTGTATTTTCACTGCGCATACTAGGACAGGCCTAACTTAGTTGTTTGGGCTCCATCTAACTTCGATTCTTAAGTTAAATCCATCCCAATCCACTAGTTTTTTTCAACCCTAAGGGCCTAGGGTTTGGTAGCCTATCAATCAACGAATTATTTATACTTGTTTTCGATAATAGGATAACGGTGTTAGGCCTTTCAAAGTTTTGCCAATGATAATTAATTTTTAGAGTGGCCTCGGAGCCCAATTTGAAAAATGCTGGGGTAAGTTTACATAAACTGTAGACAGGATTTAGATCTGCTCGGTAATGCCAGGGAAGTAACAGTCAGATCAGTAACGGCGGAGGAATAACGGTTTAGCTCGGCAACTGTTGGTTGTTGTTTCATTCCGGACTGACCGATATCGGCATGGAGTTCCCGTAATAGGTAATTGATATTAACCCTCCAAGTGTCCATAGTTTAGGCCTTAACCCTCCGAGTGTCCATAGTTTAGGCCTTAATGTCCACCTATTTTTGGCCCCTTTGCAAGGTTTTATTAAAACGGATCTGAGAAGCTTAAAACAATGTTAATTCTAATGTTCTATATACCATTTTGTTTGGAAAATCATGGGCTTCAATATTATATATAAAACATAAGGAACATTTTTTCAAAAAAAAATTTTTAGGTAAAAAAAATATAATTTCAAAAATTTTCAAAAAAAAAAAAAATTCGCGCTCAATGAAATTGTATAAATTATAGGCCTATAAATATATGAAAATAGCCACTTTGTTCTAAATTTAATGAGGATTACAAATATATAATCATATAGCGAGGTAAGTTATCAAATAAATAAGTTATGAGCGAAAAACGGATTTCAGTACATAGCGTTTAGCTAAGAATGCATAGCCTAACCATAGCTAGGAATCTGGCTGATAATTTACATCAATATCACTACCTACTTCTTCAGGATCATCAACCAGCACTTCAAAACCACTTAAATCTTCTTATAATGCACCACGTATATCACTACTTTTGATTTTTAACACTAAAACAATGATAAACGTAATAAAACACATCAGTCATCGGTCCGGGGGAACCTAGCTGTTTACAAATACACGCACGTCAGCTGTCTGCTACATATTACGATCGGCTCAGATAACGTACAGCGCTGAGACAGACCTCTGGAGAAAGCTTAGAATATTACGGAAAGAACGATACCTAACTCGATCCAGTTCAATCCGATTCAGTCAGTCATAGAGCCTTCGCCGTAAACGATGTTTGTGCGTCTTAAACTCAACGCGTGACCCTACACAAAGTGTGTTGTGCGTCTATTTTTTGACGCGTGACCCTCGGAGGGTTAATGTCCACCTATTTTTGGCGCATTTGCAAGGTTTTATTAAAACGGATCTGAGAAGCTTAAAACAATGTTAATTCTAATGTTCTATATACCATTTTGTTTGGAAAATCATGGGCTTCAATATTATATATAAAACATAAGGAACATTTTTTCAAAAAAAAAAATTTTTAGGTAAAAAAAATATAATTTCGACAATTTTCAAAAAAAAAATAAGTTTGCGCTCAATGAAATTGTATAAATTATAGGCCTATAAATATTTGAAAATAGCCACTTTGTTCTAAATTTTATGAGGATTACAAATATATAATAATATAAGGAAGTAGATTTGCAAATAAATAAGTTATGGGCAAAAAACAGATTTCAGTACATAGCGTTTAGCTAAGAATGCATAGCCTAACCACAGCTAGGAATCTGGCTGATAATTTACATCAATATCACTACCTACTTCTTCAGGATCATCAACCAGCACTTCAAAACCACTTAAATCTTCTTATAATGCAACGAACACGTATATCACTACTTTTGATTTTTAACACTAAAACAATGATAAACGTAATAAAACACATCAGTCATCGGTCGGAGGGTAACCTAGCTGTTTACAAATACACGCACGTCAGCTGTCTGCTACATATTACGATCGGCTCGGATAACGTACAGCGCTGAGACAGACCTCTGGAGAAAGCTTAGAATGAAACGGAAAGAACGATACCTAACTCGATCCAGTTCAATCCGATTCAGTCAGTTATAGAGCCTTCGCCGTAAACGATGTCTGCTTGTCGAAAAATCGACAAGTAACACTACACAAAGTGTGCTGCTTGTCGAATTTTCGTCAAGTAACACTGGGAGGGTTAAACTGGTCATGATAACCCTGTTATCGCTCAATAGGGTAACTTGTTAGCCTAATGTATTAGTGACAACCTAATACGGTACTGAAATATAATGATTAGTTCCATCTTAACCCTACGAGTGTTATGTGTCGTAAAAGCGACTCATAACATATCCGCTGTAGTGTTATGTGTCGCTTTTGCGACTCTCAAGCACTGTTTGCGGCGACGGCTCTGGGACTGACTGAATCCAGTTAGGTAGGCCTATCGTTTTTTTCTGCAGATTCAGAGCTTTCTCCTGATGTCTGTTTCTATACGCTTTTCATTTTAGTTCTGAAAATATTGTTGTAGCAGACAGCTAAAGTGTGTAAGTATTTGTAAACAGCTTGGTTAACCTCGCACCGATGACTAATGTGATTTAGGCTATTACGTTTATCATTGTTTTAGTGTTAAAAATCAAAAGTAGTGATATATAAGAAGATTTACCTAAGTGATTTTGAAGGGCTGGTTGATGATCCTAAAACAATGATAAACGTAATAAAACACATCAGTCATCGGTCCGAGATTAACCAAGCTGTTTACAAATACGCACGTCAGCTGTCTGCTACAATATTTTCGGAACTAAAATGAATAGCGCTTAGAGACAGACCTCCGAAGAAAGCTCTGAATCTGTCAAATAAAACGATACCTAACTCGATCCAGTTCAATACGATGTTGTCAGTCATAGAGCCTTTGCCGTAAACAGTGTTTGTGAGTCGCTGCAGCAACACAAAACACTACACAAAGTGGAGGGTTAAGAGAGTAAGAGGCCCTCTTTCCTTACATTACCACTATTGCTAAGTTAGTTAGGTTGATAGATATTTAGTCATGACAACCCCTTAGCTTATTTGATTCGAGACAAATTTTAATCTGGGTAATTTCTTTTCAGTCCTTAAAAATCTTCTTAAGATATCCCTACACACATCAAGATGGGTAAGGAGGATAAGGCCACCTGGAAGTCTAACTACTTCACCAAGTTGATCGTAAGTAGGAAGTCTCATGTATATTTAGGAGGTTGAAAGTTAAACTACACTTATTAGAGGTAACTTGCGATAAATGTTAAGCATTTGAAAAGGTATTTTAACAGTTTATGGACATATCTTAGATACATCAATTCGCAAAACGTTATTTATAAAACTATAACATCAAAAGCCACTTGTACAAAACCAGACATAAAAATTCATTCTAATGCAATATCAAATTAACTTTTTATGAAAAATCTAATTTATGTAGGGCTGAAGATCTGTTTAATTTATTTCTTTTTGTATTTTATTTCCAATGAAAACAGGTTGCTTGTTTTTTTAGTCTCCGTACTAAAAATAATATGTGTTTATTAATATGTGCCTTATTAATAAATATTATTCGACTTTGACTCTTCTCATGTTTTTCTTACTGACTTTGACTCAATTATTTGTATAGGTACCTACCTACTTAACAATTTGTAAGACTGCATATTTTGGAAGTGTAGGACATTATCTAATTGCCTTACTTAAACTTACTGGATGTCAAATGAGGTTATGAACTCTCATCATCCACCTGCCTGGCAGTTTGCCCAATCAGGTCAGCAAATGAGAGAACAATAAAATTTGTGTTGTTACTAGGAGTAGAGATATATTCTAAACCGAAACAACACGAGTAACATCAGTTCAATTTCAATTTACATTTTGAGGTCTACCTAAACCTGCCTATTTTAGATAGCTATTCAATTGATATATTTGTTTCAGCAACTTTTGGATGACTACCCCAAGTGCTTCATCGTGGGCGCAGACAATGTCGGTTCCAAGCAGATGCAGCAGATCAGAATGAGTCTCCGAGGAACTGCCGTCGTACTCATGGGCAAGAACACCATGATGAGGAAGGCAATCCGTGGTCACATCGAGCGCAACCAGGCTCTCGAGAAGTGAGTAATTTTTACAATCGCTGGTAGTGTCCTCACTCATTTTATGATTGTGGGTTTATGGTAGGCTTAAGTTAGTTTGTGCAGATTTTCAAATTATCCTGGTTTAGGGCTATCAATACATGTTGCCTTCAGCTGTGTACAGTACCAAATAAGAATGATGCTGAATTAACACTGACTTTTCGATTGTAAAAAACACAACTTTTCTGTTTGCCAGACTGCTGCCTCACATCCGCGGCAACGTTGGGTTCGTGTTCACCCGTGGAGACCTGGTGGAAGTGAGAGACAAGTTGCTTGAGAACAAGGTCCGTGCCCCCGCCAGGAACGGAGCTATCGCACCTTGCCCCGTCGTCATCCCTGCCCAGAACACCGGGCTGGGACCTGAGAAGACTTCTTTCTTCCAGGCTCTCTCCATCCCCACCAAGATCTCCAAGGGAACGATTGAAATTATCGTAAGTCAATGTTTTGTGTGTCGTCGTTGGTAGTGACCCAGAAATGTAGGCCTTGGAAATGTTGAAAAAAAATATTCAAAGGCCATGCCTACTGGATTTTTTGGATTTTGTACTGCATTTTGATTACTGTGTGTAAGTTATATTTTCGTGTTTTGACATTTTTCTCTGCTTAACATCCAATTCAGCTCATTCTTGGAGGAATGTTATTGTTAGGGACTGTATACTAGTTGTTACTATTTATACCTAGCCTAACAGCCTAATAATCTCTCTTCATCCACCTGTCAGGTATTTGCCTAAACAGGTCAGCAAATGAGAGGACAGCAAAGCTTGAGGTGTTTGTTCAGTGTGGAGACATACTAGACCAAAACATCTTGAGCAACATGGAATCTTCATAACAAACTATAGTAAAATACTTTAAATGCTATATGCTTGTATTATTTTTAAATAAACCAACTCGTCGCTCCCAGAGCTGTTTCTAAAAAAAAAATTAAACAATCTCGTCGCGTTAATGCCTCAATCAGCCTATCTGATTTACTGGCAATATTGATAGGTAATGTTTACTCAGTTGAACACAGCTCTGATGGTTGCTGTTGTGTTGTAGAACGACGTTCACATCCTGAAGGAAGGTGACAAGGTCGGTGCCAGTGAAGCCACACTTCTCAACATGTTGAACATCTCCCCCTTCTCGTACGGTCTCATCGTGGAGATGGTCTACGACTCTGGTACCGTCTTCGAGCCCAAGATCCTGGACATCAAGCCGGAGGACCTCAGGATCAAGTTCATGGAGGTACGTAAATAGATCTTTGAATCGAAAATGGGATTTCTCTTAAAACGTGGGGTTGATTTTGTTTGCAACAAGTCTATACAGACATTTTATTGCTTAATTCCAAGACCATAAATCAGTTATATTTCGTTACCTTTTTCACTACATTGTCTCACATGCAAAATTGAACTTAAAGGGCTATTAATTTTTTTCCTGTTTACTTGTTGAAGAGTTCAATAATTAATTCTCAATTCCAGTCACCAATAAATAACCTTGTTTTTTTTTCTAACTGTAATTTCGCTTGTGTAGGGTGTGTCCCGTTTGGCTGCCGTGTGTCTGACTATCGGCTACCCGACCATCGCCTCGGCTCCTCACTCTCTCATCAACGGCTTCAAGAACCTGCTGGCCGTCGCAGCTGTCACTGACATTGAGTTCAAGGAGGCCACCACCGTCAAGGAGTTCTTGAAGGTAACATTTTATTGAAGATTGTTAACATTAAGAATTTCAGTTGAATCTCAGATATTGTTATTTTAGACTCGTACCTTATGTCAAAGGATGTTAGGAAGTGAATTGTTGGGTGTATTAATATCCAAATATTCAATGTCCGAGCGAGTAAGGTGATAGTGTCCAAAAATAACAATAAATGTAATAACGTCCGAAACCAATTTCCCTACTTTCATCTTCTTACATGATGCACTTGGATACAATTCAAAATTACCATAGAAAAACCGAATCCAAACAAGAATGGAGTAAAATTGTCACCACTAATCCAGTCATTTTACTTGTTCCAATCTAAATTGAAAACCTCACTTAACCTGATAAACTCCGAATTGTCAGTGTATTATAGAATGTAATGTGTGACAGGACCCATCCAAGTTTGCTGCGTTGGCTGCAGCTGCGGCTCCTGCCGCTGCGGCCGCCCCGGCTGCTGCGGAGAAGAAGGAAGAGGCCAAGAAGGCGGAGAGTGAACACGAGAGTGACGACGACATGGGCTTCGGTCTCTTCGACTAAACATCTGTTTGCCAGCCTGACTGTCAATAAAGGGTTTATAACTTTAAATTTGTTTAGTTGATCTTCCTGAATTTCCGACTCGAACCTTTTGGTGATGATTGTAGAGTTCAAAATTAACTTTATAATTGTGTAGAGAATGGTTATTTCAAGAAAATTCTCATCTGATTTATTTGTTTTTGTAAGAACTTATGTCTCAATCCTGATGGCATGTTTTAGTCTTCGCTTAGCCTATTGAAAATTGGCAATCTTCTATAAAAATCATCTAAGATATGATAGACTGCTGTTGTCAGGGCCATACTGTGTTTGTTTGTGTTTCAAGCTATTTTCTATTTTAATAACACCCTCATCGTTCTACATCTAATATGCAAAATCAGGTTAGTTCATTATTACTAAATTATCTATGTATAGCATACAATTTGCCAAACAAACTTCCAAAATCAAAACACATCTTTCAAATCAAGCAAGTCTGCTTTAATCGTGCGCCCGTCTGCTCTTTGATACTTATAATTTATTTTAAAAATTAGTCAGGAACAAATATGACATGTAAGAAAGTTGTATTTTGACGAAATGATTATGTTTTGTGAATGTGCTGGGATCCGAATCTGCCATCAAACAGAACACTTGACACTAAACAGAGTAGGCTAATCGGCTAGTCCTTTTTTAAATAACCTTAATCAGTTAATTCCTGTGTGGAGTGGTGTATTTAATTATTTCCCTTTCATATCCGAGTGGTCGTTGTTTTCAGTCAAAAAGAATATCCATGCAATTAATGGCTTACTTGGACTTCATTTCCTTCCCTCCGCTAATCCGCTCTGGCATTCATAGACGGAACTGTTCTGTCCTTGGTTATTGCTACCAGTTCTAAACTTTTACAAGGGATCACAGCTTTGGTCTGGTTAAAAAAAAATTCTGCCTATAATATAGCCATCGCGTCTAATTTAGTTTCTTTGGTTGCCTAACCTGTTTTGAAAAACAAAAATATTTGTAAACAAGTGAGAGTTTTGAGGTTTATATTTTATGTCAAAATGCAGCACTGTCTTGTTAATGATTGAGTTTTGAGGTTACATTTGATGTCAAAATGCAGCGACTGTCCTGTTTATGATCGAATGAGACTATTTAATAGATAGTTGAAAAGTCACTTCCAATATTTCTGAGGAGAAAAAAGTAATTTGAAACAAAGCAATAATAAATAAGAAAGTTGTAGTTGTTTCTGCAAGTCACTAAAAGGGCTAAAAAAAATAGGAATTCCTGTGTTTCTTTTCTGTTCCAGGTATAATAATGATGACTTATCTATCACCAAGTTTTGGGACCAAATTAGAATTAGATAGTTTTTTTTTTTTTGTAAAATTGTATGAAAAACATTAATACTATACACAGTCATTATTCCCATTTTTGAAAAATATTGACGAGCAGAAGAATCTCATTCTAAATTTAGCATAATTCTGATTGCTCTTTTTTGAAGAGTAATATCCATGTTTTGCTTAGATGTATAGCCAAAAATACTTATGCCGAAAGATATTGATGATAGATAATGATTAATAAAATAATTAATTCATTTTAATTTCCCAATATTGACAATGAACAACTTACACAAGAACTAGTTTAAAGTTTCAGAGTAAAAAATGACAAGAAATGTGACAATACAATATGGATAGGAATTTAAAGCTGTACACCTACCGTCACAGAAAACGCACTACTATAACCCAGAATGCCAACCGCATGGTAAAAAGCATTAAGCGGTTTGAGAGAGCTTTGCCTGTCAATCCGTAGGCAGCGCCACCAGCGCTGCTATGCTATTGCATGGCAACGCTGGTGGCGCTGCCTACGGATTGACAGGCAAAGCTCTCTCAAACCGCTTAATGCTTTTTACCATGCGGTTGGCATTCTGGGTTATAGTAGTACGTTTTCTGTGCTACCGTACAGCTTAAATACCTGTGTGTATTTAAAGCTTAACCTACCGAAATTTTGACGTCATGGGTATTTCTCTGTATGGAGTGGGGAGAGGGGTCGCTTCAACTTTTGTAGCCTTGTCGCTGCGATTTTTTTATTGTTTATCCCACTTAATTAGCAATATATTTTAAAATAAGATTTGTGCACAGGGTGTCATAGATGTACGTTGCTGCTTTGAAAGATTTGACTAACTTATTTATCAAAATTAATTATTACAACCAACTAGTACATAAAAATTGCTAAAAAGGACATAAAAATAATTTGAATTCAAGTTGATTCCATCTAATTAAACGTTAATAGTCCTGAAAATAGTTGACGATAGTCCTTAAATTACCGGTCGAGTGTGGTCGTTCCCAAGCGAGACAAAGTCGAGTGTGGGATTACCATACGAGTCCGGTAAACACATTTTGGACGAGCGAAGTACGACATTTTACGCCATACTACTCTAAGCTAACTGAAAAATAAAAAATCTGCACTAATCCTCATATATTCTCACCGACTAAAGGACTAACAATCACTACTCATAACCTAAAGAGAGGTTATGTTTTTGTTTATAACCACTCATTGCCAAATATAATCAGCTGGTTGGTGTCCATCTGGTAAAAGCTCATTACAGTACAGTAGTACATAATGAAACTCCAATTGTTCAAGCTGGCGGCAAACAGCTGTTTTCTGGACTAACGAGTTATCCAGAACACTGAAACTTTTAATGGGTTTTAAAATAAATGAAAACATTACGGACTAATTCGTACATAAAAATGTATTACTTACACGAGTGAACTATCTTCAAAGAAATAATCTACAATTAAAAATTGAAAAGTCTAACTCAATAGTAAGACAAAGGCAGCTAGACATGCGACCGACCTGTCAGCTGTTGACTGTCGAGTTCAAGTACTGTCAAGTTACCGGGTGTCAAATTAGTGAGGTTTACCTTAGTGGGAAATTGTTTACATGAATTAGTAGAAATAAAAAGAACAGAACACCCTCTAAGAAACTCCAAAAAATCTTAAAACTGACTTGAGCAGATTTATAAGGTTTAAGTCTTAAAAAGTACTGTATGTTTATCTATAATCTAAGATTTTTTTTAGGAAACATAACTTTTTTCTCCGCCCTTCCCGAGGGGTAGCCCGCTAAAGCAACTAGTATATACATAATCATATGAAATCTACTTAAAACAGTGGTGTAACAGAAGGGCCTGCAGGGCCCGCAATGGGGGGGGGGGGGCAGAGGCCGAGGGGCCCGCGAAACGGCTGGTGGAAACCGGTGAGCAGAGAGGCCCGTGAGACGATTGGGGCCAAAAAATTTGAGTTCATTCTTATTGAAATGTATTATCAATCATTCAATAATTGTATTGAACAAGTTTTGTTAGGCCTATTTAGTGATAGCAAACTAAGGTAACAAATTTAACTGATTGCTATAATGCAATCTTACTTTCGTCAGAGAGAAGTATTTTGACTTCTCTGTGCTTTCAAACACTGATTATGTCTGCCAACATTTTGAAACATTAAGTTACCTGGAGCCTGAAGTCATGAACGTTGACTGGGGCTTTTAATATTGTATTATTTTACATTTTAGTTTTGCCCTAATATTAATTCTATTTAGGTAAAATACAATAATTATTGCTACTTTACTGACTCTGTTTGCCTATATCTTACTTTACCTCACAAATGAATCAATACTTATGTTTGTAAGGTCAACGCATGAAATCCATACAAAGACCAAAAAGATTTAATAGGCTATTTTAGCCTATGATTGTAAGTACGTCAATCTTCTAAATTAACCAACTTTACTCAAAGTTGACCAAAAAAACTCACACATATACTCATATGTGTTAGCCTAATTATAACCATCGATAAAAACTTACCTAATAAATAATTGATGCAGGGCTGTACGAATCCAGAAATTTTGGTTCGAATCCGAATCCGAATCATAGCTGTACAGATTTTATCGAATCCGAATATTTTAATTAATCCCGAGTCGAATCTGAATCTCCAAATTTACAGCCATTATCGAACCTGGATCGAATCCGAATCTGAAATTTATTTATTTTATTTATTAAACATCATCACATTACATCAATTCTCTTGACAGGTGATTTGTCACAAAGTCTAATACTAATACTATACTACATTTTAAAATAAAATAGCTTACAAAAGAAATAAAGCATATAATAAGCTACAAACCTATGGGAGAAGCAATATCTTTCAAATATACTCATTTTCCAGATATTCCTCTAACGAGTAAAATGCCCTCTCCAAAAGGAAATTTTTTAAAGATAGTTTAAATTTAGAGAATGAGGCAATGTTTCTAATCCCAGCGGGTAATTTATTGTAAATTTTTGGCCCCATATACTGAGGGGATAAATGAAAGATTTTAAGCCTATGTTGAACTGGTTTTATAATATTTTTGAATCTTGTGTTATGTGGATGAGATTGTTGACAGTCCATGAATGTGTCGAAATCACTTTTAACCATTAATGCCAATTTGTAAATATAAGAGCTAAAAAAAGTTAATTTTTTAAAATTAATAAATAAATCTTTACAATGTGTTCTACGGGAGACTCTGGCCATTAATCTTACAGCTCTTTTTTGGAGAATACAGTAGAACCTCTTTAATCCGAACTAATTGGGACCGGGGGTAGTTCGGTTTATTGAATAGTTCGGATTACAGAACATATTGTTGTTTTTACATAACAAAGCTCAGGGAAAAGTGAAAAGTGCTTTTTAAAGTAGAATACAGAATTTATATAATACAGTATTAAACATAAGGAATAAACAGTAGGCCTACTATACATTACAATTGAAATAACTATGGTGCGTATATAAATAAATACAGTATACATACAATAAAGAACTACTGTACTGTGTATAGAGTACAGCAATGAGGCGTTCGGATTAGTGGACGTTCGGATTACAGGGGTTCGGATTAAAGAGGTTCTACTGTAAATATTTTTTTGGCCTGGCTTGATGAGCCCCATACAGTAATTCCATAATTCATAATCGATGAAAAATATGCGTGATATACTACTATTTGTGTTTCTAGATTAGTAGTATCCCGAATTATTGTGAGAACAAATGTTGCTGAGCGTAGTCTTTTTGATAGGTTTTTAATGTGTTTTTGCCAATTTAGTTGTGAATCAATTTCTATTCCCAAATAATTTATTGACTGTTGTGAATGAATTGTAGTTAAGTTTGTATTTACAATTATTTCTTGGTTAATATTGGATGCAGAAAACTGAATTAGTTGAGTTTTTGCCACATTCATGGACAGGCCATTTACTGCAAACCAATCCCCAAGGAGTTGAAATTCCTTAGTTATTGAGGCTTGAATGAACTCATTGTTTTGTCCTGTGCATATTAAAGCGGTATCATCTGCGTATTGAAAGGTGGACATCTTAGTAGCATTGCATAGATCATTAACATAAATAATAAATAAACAAGGGCCGAGAATGGAGCCCTGAGGAACTCCATTGGGGTTAATGTTCCACTCTGATTTATAATTTCTCTGCATTTTTTGTAAAATAAGTCTTTGTTTTCGGGTCTTTAAATATGATATGAACCATTTTAATTCAGTATTTTTTATTCCATGCATACTTAATTTTTCTATGAGTATCTCATGATTCACACAGTCAAAAGCCTTGGATAGGTCACATAGCACACCCACAGTCTTCTGCGATCCATCCAAGGCTTCTGCAATGTAGTTAATCATTTTTGTTATGGATTTTTCAGTACCGAGTTCTGGGCGGAAACCAAACTGTGAAGGATTTATTAAATTATTGCTTTCTAAATATTCTGTTAGTTGAATCTTTACAATTTTTTCAAAAATCTTTGAAAAACAAGGCAGAAGGGCGATGGGGCGGTAGTTAGAGGGATCGTTGACATCGCCCTCTTTGAACAGAGGTTTAATCTCAGCCAACTTTAGCTTATCAGGAAAAACCCCCCCCTCAAGGGACTGATTCACTATTTGGCATAATGGATGTTCTATAAATTTAAAAACTCTTTTAATGACAAAAAGAGGAATTTCATCCCAACCTGAGGACTTAGTGTTACTGAGAGATGTAACAACTTTTCTTAACTCGTCAATTGAAACATTTCTAAATTTAAATGTTAATTTGGAACGTGGATGATTTTCGATTAGTAACTGAGTGGCTTTTAATTTATCTGTTGATTTGTTGGCATACTGAGAAACATTAATAAAAAAGTTATTGAATTTCTGATGTTTAAAGCTGTTATCGAATCCGAATATTTAAACCTGTTCAGAGTCGAATCCAAATCAGAGGAAAGTCAGCAGTACCAATTTTCACATTTTTAGACCACATTTTCTGGGGCTGAAATCACTTAGGGAATTGCTTAAAAAAATTCTTGAAATGGGCCAAATAAAAAAGTTATACAATTTAGGCTTACCTATTTGAAGTTTTGAAACTAAAAAATTGGGCATAAGTTAGGCATACCACCTAGGCCTAAGTTACTCGCTAAAAGTGGTGGACTACCAATTTGTTTAGTCTAAAACATAGGCCCAGCCTATTCTACACCTCGGTGTTAATCCTCCACACAAGCCTATGTCTGCATTACTATTACAAGTAACAACTAACACAGTGAGGTTAAGTTTACTGATAGCCAAGATAGGGTTCAAATGCGACCTACACTAATGTGCCTAAAGCCTAACACCAAGTTGGTCAGGTTCCTAACATGAACCAGTCAACAGCAAATCGGAGTGCACAAGTAGTTTTTTAGTGTCTAAAAAATTATATTGAAAATTATATTCAATCAGAATCTAGAAAATTTGAATATCGAATCCCAACTCGGATCTATTTCCAAGAAATTCGAATATCGAATCCGAACCCGGATCTCTTACCAGTAAATTTGAATATCGATTCCGAATCCGAATCCAGTTAGAAACAGTAGATTCGTTCTCGAATCCGAATTGAATCTCTAAAAAGATTCGGATTCGATTCGTTTTTCGAACTATTCGCACAGCCCTGAATTGATGTGTAATAAATTAAAAATGACAACTTTCTTTAATACTTTTTTATTAAATGGCGACCATACGAAGTAAGTATTTTAAGCCAAGTATGAACGGAGATGAGTGTACCTCCTTGATATGAAACATTCTGATACGGTTTAAAAAATAAGGTATTTTAATTTTATTTCAAAACTTTTTACAAATACTGAAATCGATATAACGATGTATCTTCATCATCAAACCACGATTGAAATACTTAACACGCCCCTTTATCGAACATTACCCATAATCTACTACTGCAGTGTATTTATGATGAATCTTTAATCGAAAAATAACTCTTGGGGGAGGGGGGAGGGCGTTTGGTTATGTTGTATCGGTGGTATAAAAATAGCTCATGAGAAGGGCCCAAAAAATACGTTTGAAGGGGGTCCTGAAAAAATCTGTTACGCCACTGACTTAAAATAAAATAAAATGGAACTTGTGAACAGCAAAACATAGAGTTGAAAATGACAAGAAGTCCAAAAGAAATGCGCTCATTACGTCCTGATTTGTAGAAAAATAAAAATACCAAGAATTAAAATAGCTATATCAACACAGTTAACAAGAAAACATATTGGACTTTTGTAACATAGACAAATTAGGAACCCTAATAAAAATATTTACATATTACATTACTATATTACTGTAACATATTTAAACTTTACTATTTTTACAATACTCTTCAAACTATTTACAAACAACATACACCAAATTAAATGACAACTGGACAACTATTTATAAATTAACAACAAATATGTGATGTAGATGCTGATGTTAATTTCCCTGCCTGCCCTCTTTGTTTTACGTTCAATCTTCTCAAGAGCTTCTCGGTACTTCGCTATTTTGGTCTTTGTTCCCAGCCAGAGCTTATGCAAACTTTTGTTCCGCCTTTAAACTTCATTTCTTTTGAACATTCCCAATTTCCCTTCAAATATTCTAGCTTCAATGAAGTCTAAATGATCGTAGCCATTAACTGTGGGAGAACAATCTTCTTTCCTTAAAGAATCACCTGGAATTGATTACTTTTGTCATGAGGTCGGCAGGATTGAAAGTATTTTCTTTTGAACTTAAGTTCTAGCACTTGCTTCAAAAAGGTGCAAAGTTTACCTTTTTTGTTATCAACATACTTTAAGTGGATGAAACATCCAGTGGCTAGAGAATGTGTTTTGAGTTTGGATTCAGAGCTGTTAGCTCTATCCTTTTCGATGAGCGAAACTCACTTAGTAAGTGGCCATCCAAAAACAGAACAACGGATCGCTGGATTTTGTTATTATTCTCAAGTCAGGGATTGAAGACATTTGGAGATGTACTCAAAGAAAGACTCAGAAGTCATCTATCCATTTTCAGTTATTCCCCAATCTTCAGACAATTTCACGACAACATTTTAAAGTATGCTTTCAGAAGAAAAAACCACCATGGGAGGAGCAACTGTCCCATTGGCATTGGTCTTGTTGAGGGCAGTCAAGTCATCTTTCTTGTCATTGCCCTTCATTGATTATCATGTTCGCCTTGTTTTACAAGAACCTTTTTGTCCTTTGAGCACAAGAAAAATATCGTTTCGTCATAGTTAAATATCCGTGACAAATTTTTAAACACATCCTTCAGATCCTGACTCTCTGCTTACTCATTGACTTAAGTCTACAATTTCTAATATCTGTCTCGCTTATGTTAACCTTCGATGTCATAAGCGTCTGGCCTATTCGACCTGTGATTTAAGGATAGCGATTGAGAAAAAGGTTGTACCATTTTCCCCCTGATACATAATGATGAAATGGCATTTGTGGTTGGAGAGTTTCCGCAAGTTTTTTAGCACTTGTAATGAGTGCATCTTTCGATATTGGTAACCCGGTTATGCCTGCTGACAATCCACTCCAAAAGGATCCGTTCTTCGCCTGGACTGAAGATAGAAGGACAACCCATCACACATCCCCACGGCATATTTACCACTCAGCTTGTCTTTAAGTCGGCCGTGATATTCTGAAGTTTTTTGCAGCAGCCATAACTGTCATACCTTCTTTTACAGCCTGGATTGCTTCTAGAATGACTTCTTGGGTGTAGCTTCTCCTCACAGCTTTTGGCTTCTTAAGTGGTGTCAACATTCTGAAAAAAAACTCTGTATTAAAATCTTAAAAGACATACACTAATATTACCTTAAAACTACATCCTTAGGTTTAGTATTAGTAAACAAAAGCTTATTGGACTTATCTGTTTTCTAAGCGTAGAGCACAGCTGAACAACGATGTAAACAACTCGGCATTTAGAACTTAACTCTCTGAACTATTTCTTCCCTATTTTACCTCAAAAATTATATCAAACCGGAAACAATACGGATGCATTCAATTACGATTTTGAGTACTTTTTTCCGTAGAGAATGCTTTTTTATCTGAAGTGACGATTAACGGTATTTGGAGTGCTCAATGTGGCAATTTAACCTTACGACTTATTAATGGAATTTCAAATTTCTAGGGTTTACCTTTCTCAATGCTTTAGTAGTAAACGTTTTTAATGAATTAAGCAGTACGACAATAATCTAGTTAATAACACGGGCCGAAAGTGTCTTTTCCCCCAACCTCGTCTTCACTTCAGTGTTAAACATTTGTTTTGAAAAGAGTCATTTTAGGCTCTTATGAAGAAACTATTATGATAATTATTTTACAATCGCACATAATATTTATTCAGGCAGTTAATAAAAGACAACATATCTCTTTTATTTATAATTTCCCAAACAAAACATCAGAAAACACTTTGTGTTGAATGCAACCACTCTATAACAAATACAATGCTTTACAAAATACAGTTTTGCTTACTGTCTACAAGTAGTGAGCAGGCATTGCGTCTTGCACACACGTCCACGCACGCGCACACACGCACACACACAGTGCACAGATAAGCGGCCAATACGTCAGGTAAGACTTGGACACTTTAAGCAAAAATATTTAGAATTACATCTTTTTCACATATTCTGTCTTTTTAGTTATTGACATATGAATACATAACTGTTTATGGTATTTTACAATAGCTGGCAATAATTACATTCATAACAAATAAATATTTGTCAAAGGCTGATTAAATTTTAAAGAAAGTTCAACATAATCGGTGTTCTAAGTTATATTACAGTATGTTTTTTTAAAGTAAGAACATCAACGCGAGTTCAAGAATGTGACAATTTATACTATGTACATATTTTTGTATAAAATTGTGTTTCAATTGTAATCGTAAAGTGACAGATGTAACGTTCTACGTTCTATAACAATTGGAAAATAATATAAAAAGTGGAAAATAAATCAACAACGCTTTACAAGTCTAAATCTACCAAAACAAGTACCAGTATGTAGGAGATCTCAGCCTTTAAGTATTTTAGATAGTTGAATACACAAATTATTTTTTAAGTTCCATTTTTAACACTTTTAAAATACAGTTTGGTGATTAAGTATTACATGACATTTGATTTCAACTCTAATAAAATGTGTTGCATTTATATTTTTTTTATAGACTAATTTGGATTTTATAAACAAATATCAATTTGGTCATTCTTAGCGGTGCTCTAGGTTCTAGGATTAGGCCTAATTATGAATTCTCTAAGAAATTTTCATATCAGATAGTTTTCTTTATTTTTGTTAGTTTAGAAACAAAACAAATGAAATGCATTTTTTAGCTTAGTTCGCACTTCTAGTTCCTTAAAAGCTGAGATAACCAACGCAAACCAATTTAAAACTTATCTGACATTTTGATTTTTCCATTTACCCATTAAAATCTTTGCATGACCATTCATTCTAACTAAATTATAAAATCATAGCAATAACTTGGAATGTATTTACTTAATCTACAATAGTTATGTATGAAATCTATCATGTATAAAAGCATATTCTTCTGGGTCCACAGATGGCTTGTTTATATATGTTGTTGAAAGTTAAGGAATGAAATAAATGGATTATGGTCCGTAATTTTACTGTCAGACAAATTTTTAGAACAACAACTACTGTTATTGATAACGTCTTAAAATATTGTAAATTAAATAGGAGTTTTTACAAAACAAAACGTATTCCAACACAAAGATAAAAATAATTCAATCAATCTAATTTTGTATTTGTCACTGTTAGTAAGTCAGCAAACCTTTTGAATCAGCTTTTTTGAAACTGGGTGGGAAAAAAAGATTTTTTAACTCGATAGGAAATACAGTTCAGTGGAATAAAATGACTCATTAAGCTTAAGTAGCCTACATTTTGTACCAAAATAGTGATAAAATATTATGTTGGCAAAAAAGTCTTAAAAGTAACATTTATAAAAAAACCATCTGTACATACCCAGTAGTTTGATAAAGTTTTTTCGCCTAACAAGTGCTTACGGGAAATTTCAAGCCACGATCTATCAACAATACAATATTTACATCTGTCGGAAAGTTTCCAATACATTTGGCACATACTACTTAGTATCATAATTGATGTCATTGTTCTGGATTATAATAATTGAAAAGAAATAATGGAATAAGGAATACTTTGTGAGAATATTAAAGAAAAAGGTTATTTCACAAAGTCATTTCAAAGTGTTTCTTTATGTGAAATGGTGTAAAATGCCCACTCTAAGTGAAAAATCTTAACAGAATTGCTTATATTCTGTACACAATATAATAATACTAAAAAGTTATATTAAGTACATTCGCAATACATTTATAAAGTAGTATAATAAACCTAAAGAGTAAAACAATAAAATTTGAAACCATAACATATATATTTCGATATGAACTTATAATGCAGTACGATAATTTGTCTGGAACAAATCACATACTGTGTTGATAAAACATAATTTTTATATATTAAAAAATCTATATATAAAATAATCAAAATCTAGTTAAGTACATTTGAGGAAACAATAAATACATTTAATACTGAGGTTCTGATAGAAAAATTCCCAAATAAAATACTTGACAACCAACAACAAATATTATGATTTGACACAACCATAAATAGCTTTTGACACTTTTCACAACTCCATAGTTAAAAACATGTGTAAATACTTGAGTGGGTAGGCCTACACTCATTAAATGGTATAAAAAATAAACCCTCTGATGTCAATTCGAATTTGGAATTCACTTTTCAATCACATTTTATTTCAAGAATCGTCGTTCTAACCTATATCTGAAAAAAAGTGACGAAAACAAACGATTTAAGTACGAGTACAAATTTGATATAAAAATAAATGCAAACCTTCTGAAATACTTAAATAAGTACAATTACTTTTATAATCACAGCATGGTAAAAGACTCAAAATGAAAACAAGTCACTAGAACGTACCAAGAGGGCTCGGTTCGGACTTAACAGAAAACATGGAGAAGTAGCAACCGTTGTGAGTGTTACCCTGCATAATGTGTAAATGAGTTTAAAGTCTGTAAGGTTGAAGATCTTCTGGGATTAGTTCCAAGGGCGGTTCCAAGGAGGGTAACTCCAGAAGTTGGCGAAAACCTAGTAACGCTGTTGAAACTCGTGGTGCCACCGGTTGAAGTCGATGTGGAACACCACGATTGTGCCAGTGGCTAGTCCAGCCAGCAGAAACCTACAACAACAAACATAGAATTATCTTACATCAACATAAAGTATGATCCTAGTAACGTTGTTGAAACTCGTGGTGCCACCGGTTGAAGTCGATGTGGAACACCACGATTGTGCCAGTGGCTAGTCCAGCCAGCAGAAACCTGCAACAACAAACATGGACTTATCATACATCAACATAAAGTATGATCCTAGTAACGTTGAAACTCATAGAGTTGCCACATTAATACAAGGAACGTCCCTACATTGTGGTCTCCAAAGAGTTGCCATGCTAATTGAGTAAGCAAGCTCAAATCTACCACTAGGGCCCAGCTCTTTACCTTCCCCTATTCCTGATATAGCCAGTCCCTACCTTTATGCAAAGATTAGTCTTGATGTAACAGCCAATTCCAATGTTAGTGGAACCAACAATTTTTGTAGTAAAAGAGGTCATACCCGATCAGACCCACCCAACAAGTCGATGGAGGGTGGTGGCACCCCTTTATTTAAGTGCAGTTCATGTAATGGAGAAAAGTATAAGAACGTAGAAACGTAGGGATGGAAAGAGTACAGAAATCATCCTATTTGTTTACACAACATTTTTTATGGTTTTCTTGTTTTGGCTACTGACAAGAAAAAGTATAGTAATTTTTTTACTATTACAACAAGCCTGAATTTGACGAGACTTACTTCTGGTCGTGTGAGAGTGCCAGGGAACGTACACTACTGTCACAAGAAGGAAAGGCATACAGCAATGCGAGGTTGAATGTTCTCCAAACTTCTACGATACCTTTGTCTCCTGCAGTCATCAGGTATTCCCCGTCTCGGCTCAACAACAAACACTGCAACAAACATTCGTTACGGTCAAACATAGTCTTCGTCTTCATGCTCTATTTCTTAACCTAAATATACAAACCTGAAAACAGTTCTGATTTTAAATTTCAGATTCTTTATCTGATAACTTTTTAGACTGCTCAAGTTTTGATTTATTTTATGCCAAGCATCATGAAATTCCTACTGGGTAAAAGTGCTTTTACAAGAATTATTTAGTCTTATTTACATTGTCAAATGTTGTAACTGTACCTGTAGATTGTCATTGTGAGACTCGTGTCGAAGGCGTTTGCCGTTGATGGTGAAGGCGGCGATGTGTCCGCGCTCGTAATTGACAACAATGACACCTTCACGTGACATCGCAATACTTTCTGGACTAATGAATCCGACGGGAGCTTCCAGACATCGCAGTAAGTCACCAAACGTGGTGTGGACCAGCACTGGACCCGCTGAACAGAAAATACACAAATTAATGTAGTTGGCCAATCTCCAACTAAATAGTACCTGTAAATCAGGTGAAGTCTTTACCCAATTCTACACTTGTTAGCAAATAAACTAAGGAGTAAATATTAAAACAATCATTGGGTGGGTGTGAGAAGGAAGCTCCGGTTATCACTGGAAGGGACAAAGACAAAGAGAAGATATGTGCAGAAAAGCTACGATGAGTAGAAATTTGGAGCATTGAGCAGGAAAGAGAAAATGGAGACAAATTGAGGATAAGGCTTGGAAAGACCTAAGGACTGTGCTGTAGCAAAGTCAGGCAAGGAAAATTGATTTCCTATTCGATTATCACCAAAACTGTTATATTTTGATAATCCATCTATAATGAGCTAGTTGAGTCATGAAGTACAGTTTAATCTTTAATCAATTCACAAGCAATATACTACACCCTCTGAGAAAAAACAGATATGCTAAGCTAAACCCAAATACTTCTTTGTCAGACAGTTCAACGCCTTAAACTGTATTGTATAGTTCGAGACATTTGGCGTCCAATATACAACTACTATACTGCTACAACCTAAAATCCATCACAGAGAAGGTAGGTTGTACCTTATCTGTTTAATTACATTAAACTGATGTTTTGGTAACCCCAATTCTGATGTTTGCCCCAACCCCAAATATTTCCACAATGTTCGCTTACCCACAGACCCGCTGACCACCAGTCCGAGCTCTGCGCTGATGACGACAGACGTGACGGGCTGCTCATGTCCGGTGAGCGTCGCCCGAGGTGTCGGCACCTCTCCCTCGCCTACAATGGTCTGGGAGCGAGCGTTCCAATGCCACAGCAGCACCGTACAGTCCGCTGAGCCAGACGCAACGTAGCAGTCTGAGGTGATGTTGCACTCGGAGCGAGAGAGACATGTCACCACGCCGTAGTGGCCAAACACTATCTGGACTATCTTGGCTGCAAAAGAAAATTCTTACTGTAATTGGAAAACTAAATAAATAATTTTAAAAGAGTTTCTAGAGGTCAAGGCTTCCATGTTCACCAACACTACATACCGTACTAACTCTGGGTATGACTGCAACCCAGAAACTTTTCCTTAGGTAGAGACTGTAGCAACATTTTTATAAAGCAGAACATGTTCGTAATTCTCACCAGTTTCTGTGGAGAACACTCGGAAACTATTGTCCCAGAAGCCGCAAGCGATGAGGAACCGACTGTCGACTGTTGTTACGAAGCAGTTGCTGCGGATACGAAGCTTCTGACTGAAGTTGTCCCCTAGGTGTCGTCTCACTGCTGCGTTGTTGTTGTTTCCTGTTTGTACTGAAAATGAAAGACGTAAATTAATTAGCGTTAGTGAACGATGCAAACCACTGTTGTTTGATTTAAGTCCAAGTACTTAATGATCATGTTAAAAAAATAAAACTAACATAACAAAACTTTAGTTTTGACTATGTTCTTTTTGAGTTGGCAACAGCTGGTCCTTATAAAAAGGATGTTTAACTATCCTAAATTCAATATTTTACTCACATAACACAGGATCCATCGACAAAGGCAGGTTAGCAGCTTGATTTTGAGGTGTGTCCGCATAACTTGGAGACTGAACTGACGCTGTGAAAACACAAATAATTTTACTTATTGCTCTTGTGTGGAATAAAATGTAAGTAACTTATATAAAACGAAAATACAGTTTCTATTAGTAAATATATATAAGTTCACCATAAGTATAACCCATTTATTTATTTTTCAGTCCATTGAATAATTTTGTGTTTGAACTATCAATTTAGTTAGTGTATTTATTATTTTCATCTTTTTTTTATTCAATCACTTTGTGAATTTTTAACACCTGGGAGGTGGTAATAGACTATTAATAGGCTACAGAAAATTGTGACTTGTAGGTAAAGTGTTAATCACCTTATTTTAAACACTATTTACTGTATTTCAAGCAGTATTGACACTTGTGCTTTTTGAGGTTTACATGCTTTAAGTTAAGATACTATATTGATTTTTCATTGTTAAGTATTGTTCATAATCATATTGTATATGTGTTCTGCACTCACCAGCGTAGTTGGAGTTCCACCTGTTGAGTGCAAACTGCTGATTGGACGTGACGGTGACGACGGAAGGCAACGGCAGCTGAGGGTACGTGTTGGCGGAGATGTGACAGATCGGAGAGTTGGACGGAAACTTCATTGTCATACAAATGTCGTCTGGCACGCTGGAGAACATCATGGGGCTCTGCAACGGAAACAACAAGAAATAGTAGAATAATCTCATAACAACAACTTGCCATCAAATATACAAAGAATAACTGCTCTTTCAACAAACTATACCTTTACGGTTCTAAAAAATTCTCATCTTACCATTAGACTCTTGAGTAAATTACATAACAAGTATTCCATTTATCTCCTCAGTACATGGGCCCAAAAATATATAACAAATTACCTTCTTCAATTAGGGACACTGATTCATTCCCTAAATTCAAAAAGAAGTTAAAAAACTTTCTTTTGGAGAAGGCCTTCTTCTCATTGGAGGAATATATGGAAGCTATGTAGATGTTTAAGGCTCAGCATATGAAATTTATTTTAGTATAATAGAGACTATAAAATATTGTAACAATGACGAATCACCTGTCTGAATATGATGTTATGTGATTATTGGAAAATAAATAAATAAACATAGAGTACATGTTGAACTAATAATTCAAGCACTATTTTGGTTTTTATAAGTATATTGTTTAACAGTAATATGAGTAGGGTTTGAGTAGTTCCTTTAAACAAAGTGACTGACCAGGTGCATGGCGGAGCTTCGCGGAGGATGAGGCTCCATGAGCAGTTGTGATGGTGTCTGGCCAAAGTTGCGGATCTGGTTCTCGATAGCCTGAAAACATTGCGTACAAATATTAAAAAACACCCTGCAATACAATTGCCTAATCTGTGAGATTATTTGACATACTTTTCCTTCTTCTAAATGGCTATAGTTTCTTCATACTTCTTAAACTTTTAGAGGATGCAGAGCCTACAGTGGCTAGGGGCAAAGTTCAGTTTTAATAACTTTCATCAGGTCCAGTTTGAAATTGACAATAATATTTTTTTATTTGTGAAACAGCAAGATAGTTATTACTTTGTCTTTATCGCTGCTGATTCCTTCAGAGTATTGGCTATTCTGGAACTAATAAAGCCATGATAGGTGAGGTTTATGATTATGACTATTGAGACGTTATTGTTGGCTTCACACACACATTGTATTTGGACAAATAAGATTCATAGATAATAGACATAGAATTGTCCTTTAGTTATAAATGTCTTCTGAAAATAACAATTGACCTATTCCGAATCACAAAATATTAAGGTTTTGCTAACCAATTCTGTAAAACATTGCGAAACAGATTATTCCTTCCTTTATAAGAAAAAGTTCAGAAATTTACCACCAGACAATATAGATGTGAACCTATGTGTGTTTCACGTGCCTTTAGAGTACGAATTGAAATGAATATACTAAGATTTGTTACCATTACAAATCTAGATAGTTGTAAAAACCATGTGAGGTTGTAATTAAGAATAACTTTCAAATTATATCATGACAATCTCACCTCTTTCATGACAGGGTCTGTGATAGAGTCCATATCAACACTGCCTTCGTACGTCAGGTAGTAGAAGACATTGGACGCCCTCACTGCTTCAGGACCTGGCGAAAATAAATGGTTAGATATAACGTCTTAGATGGGCCAACTTGAGTAGATGTAAACAAATAAAATAATCAATCTAAGACAGGAAAAATAGATTTATTTTACCTCTTTGTTTGTAGCCGAAAATCAGATCGATCCATTGATGTAGTTGACAAGAAACAAACTCTGATTCCAGCGCCTGTAACATATGAGGAATAACGATCAACTAAGATTAAAATACTTGGTATCAGAAAAATTAAAAATCCACATTATTTTATTGGAATAAAAGTATGAAACTGGTTCAAAAGTATCGGTTTACTGAGAGTCGACTTTATTGACGTAGGATGCAATATTAAGATCACAAATGTTACAATAAAATCGTTTTCCTGCAGTTACCTAATAATGTACATGTTCTCTCACTGATTTGAGAAAGCAAAGTGGCCAATTCGCTCATCCATCAGTGAGACAATGTTAACATTGTCTCACTCTAATTACTTTGTCTCACTCCAGATTTGCAACGTTAAGGCACATTTCTTTACCAATTTATTTGTTTTATGTTAACTGTAGGAAAAATATAATGTGCAACTCGGGTGCAAAGTGCAATCGCCTCACTCGAGAAACCATTCCTCACTCGCCTACGGTTCGTGAGCAAGGATTTCTCTCGAATGAGGCAATTGCTCACTTTACTCACTACTTGCACAAATAACTATTCTACACCCTGTCAAAACAAAACTCAAGTAAACAAAAACTATGATAAAAAATCAATTGAAAAATTATCTTTGCAACAGAAATTGTTCATGGAGTGGGAAGTTGGCGCATATGGAACCAATTTAATGGAGTATACACAACTTGAATCTCATACTTTGACGAAGATTAAGTTAAGAAGATTAACTAGTTTTGTGTATACAGTAGTTGTGGATTTCTAGATGACAGTGATAAAAACAATGTAAAAATTACTGTTATAGATTGTTAGAACCGAAATATGAACTAAATTCCAACCATTGACCAACCAAAAAAATAGGTTATCCGAAATGGCCTTGTTTAATTTATTTTGGACATAATCTGTATTTCACATTTCACTGTATAATCTCGTAGAATACAATGTGTTGGGAAAATTTTCTACTTAAACAACTCCATGAACTCACCATCCGATTGATCCTGATGAACTCCTCGGGTGAATTGGCCCAGGCGGGGAGTTCCACGTTGCCGACGGCTGTTCCGTCCTCTTGCTGGCCCAACCTGTAGCGATTCACGTTCACCAGCATTTCCGGTAGGAAGAAGAACTCGGGGATCAGCTCCTGTCAGATGTTTAACATTTGGTTTACTCCGTCAGACTTTGCAACGTTAGAAAAATGAGTGAGTGATACTACAGCGGAGATTCAAATATTCAATTTGATAGAACATAACAGTTTTGATAAATTGAAAGTTTTAAAATCTTCTGGTTTTATTTCAATTTTGTTCAGAGACTGCGATTGACTAATGTCTATTCTACAATCCGTACCAGAGGTTCTAAACGTAACAATCAAGATGTTAAGAGTTTTAACAAAATGAAACTGTCAAACATATCAGTTTATATAAGGCATTTACATTAAAACCGCTTGAGTAGCTTTTTTGGTGGTTTAAATGTGAACTTCGGGCAGTCATCGCACGGCAGGTTGGGGTAGATTCATACATTTAATTTGTTTTATCTCATCAGGCCTGAATAACACACACTCAAACCATCTGTGTATAACTGAAGTAACTAATTTGTTCATGAACCAGCATGATCAACTGGAATGAAAGTTTCTTTCTAAAATCAATCCCTGGTTGTTTTTTTATTTATTAAAACTGTAAAAACAATCCAACTGCTGTGGTATGTTCGCAGATAAAATGACAACTTACTTTCACGTCAGAAGTGTCCCTCTGGCAGTTTTTCCAGCTTAGTCCGACGGAAGAGAAGAGACGGTTTGGATGATCAAATTTTCCTCCCTGCAGGGCCAGGAACATGGATGTGAACGGCTCCTTGAAACATAAACATTTTGGTGTAACACTTCAAACAGCGGCGATATAAACTGTAGTTGAAAGTTGCTAGAGATGAAGCAAAATGTATTTAATTTATTTACGAAAAACACCTTTTTGTACAGACAAGAAAGCAATAGAAATGCAACATTTATTAACTACCTACTGCAAGAAAAAAAAAATGTAAACAACACATAATGATAAAATTTGTAGAACAGAATAATTCCAAAAACAAATCACAAATCAAGCAGCCAACAAAATATTTTGAACTTATTGTAATGTAATAATTGCTATAGTTATAACAAAAACTTACAACATGTATATGCTACCATGTATGTGCTATAGTGTCCATGTATTTTTTTATAGCAAAACTTGACAAATTTGTATCCATTTAATGCTTAAGTATGCATCTAAATAACATAAATATAAATCTAAATCAACATAAATGTAAAATAACAAACTACATTTATGTTATTGTTTGGTAACAATTTATAATTTATTTCAAAACAGTATTTAGTAAGTGTACAGAAATCGTACAGTTTCAATAATCTAACGCATGAGTTTGATAAATAACTTATAGACTCAAATCTAAAGTTCCCAAATTAAAAACTCTAACAAATCCCAATAAAATATAATTCAAACAGCACAAGCCTAAAAAATAATTGTTCATGTTGTGCAAGATCTAATGTACACATAGACAATTTCTACATTGATTTCTGATGTTTTCGTTTAGTGAAATATTAGTAACGGGTGTACTTGATGTACGACAGCGGATGAGTCCAACGTAAACCAACATGAAAGTTAGACGAGGCAGATAAAACAACACTTAGTAGTGAGTATATCACGGCAAATTGCGTCGTCAATCAGCGAGGCAATATCAGGATTATTTTGAGCACGAGGCTTCATTAAGCTGTAAATATAGCCACAAGACAAATGTGGCTTGACTAAGTGATGCTGTCCAACTCGACAGACGGCTTTCATCATATCATTTAGAATGTCGATATTTCAACTCCTTTACAACCTGTTTTCTTTTGGTCTTTTATGTTTACAAATGTCAGTCATGTGTCTTTGATAGATAAAAAAAAGATAAATAATCATGGTCTCATTTTTGATTTAATATAAATCTGAAATACAAATTTTGAATTGAGAATATTATTAGAAAAAAAAGAACGTGACATTTCTTTACCTAACATTTTCAAACCTATTTATACCAGAGAGGTAAACAGTAGAGGCAAATTTTTAACATTTGGCAATACCTTTCTAGCATAAATTTTATTCAATGTCCTGGCTAAGTTTTTTTTTCCTGTTGGTTATCATGAAAATGTATTTCTTAGCTCATTAAGTACAATTGTACTGAACTGAAACTACACATAATATTCTGATCCTCTTGACCAAAAACTTACAAGTGTTAGTTAATTTTTAATTTGAGTTTTTATTTAGGGTGTTCATGGCCTTTCTATAGCTGTCGTATATAAGCATAGCCATAAAACATAACCCCTAGTAGATTTCTCATCCTTATGGAACAGCTGAAGCCATTGTTAGTTCTGTCCAGTGCACTGTAGATGTTGTTTTTGTTTACAATTTATTTCTTGTTATTTCAGTTATTTAAAACCTTGTTTTTAACCAAATAATACGATCCATTAATAAACAATAACTCGTCCCTTAGTTATTTAACCAAACAGTAAAGAACAGATAATTAAATTAACATAAAAATAATAGAAACAAAATATTGTCCAAACTAGCGCTCAGTGCCACCGTACATGAACTAGACACAAAAAACGAGCTTCAAAATTTACAATGGGATGAGAAGTCTACTTGTGTTGGTTAGTCTGTGGCATAGCTTAGATATCTGAAAAGTTTATTTTTTAGGATTAAGTGTCATGTTGATTGCTGAGATGTTCAGTGGTTCAAAACTGATTAACATTCCTTGATCAATTTAATAAATGGTACTGGTTGATGGACCAGCTGATCTTTGGGAGGAACAAATCTGGCATCATTAATTCAACACATATCTCGCCTAACACAAAACAGCAAGAGTTTATGGGGTTGTTTATGGGTTTTTTTACCGTATCTAATCTAATCTACTCCTTTGCACCACTCACCACTCTGATTAGCCAGTTGAGTACGAAGGCAGCCGTAGAGTAGTGTGTGCCGTAGTGGAACGGAGGAATACTCTCGTGCTCCCAGCTGTTGTATCGCTCTTCAAAGTAAGCTCTGCGACTCGGGTTGAGCGCTCCAATAGGCTGTGACAGAGAAAACCATTGAAAAAGTAAAATTGGTCGAGTTATGAAATACTAAAAAAATTGTAGTCAAGAGTGTCCCTCCCCCCCCCCAAGGTCAGTTGCGCAAATCCCCTCCCATTTCATACTGCACCTTCACACTCCCTACCCAACTTAGCCAACTTTCCCCTTACAACATCAAAACCAGCATTTCAAAGATTTACTAAAAACACAACTAACTGGCGATACAAAATGTTAATTAGGAACATTCGTTTCCAATACAAAACTATTGGGATGATGACCCAAGTCACAATATTTGGGTAGTTTTGAAAGGTCATGCTCATTGAAGAGAATTAGAAATAGAAAAATGGAGATGGTCTCTTAACCCAAACTAGCAGTTATAAAATATCCCCAAACAGACAAAAACAAGGCCATGTAGCCGCTGAGAGACGGAGAAAATAGAACTTTTTTTAAAGTGTCTTCTCTTAGACTGCTGTCAATTATTTGCATGCATTATAATGTTGACTTGACAATAATCCATGATCTCTTTCTAAATAATCTCCCGCAATCGAAGAGAAAATTTTACCGTCTCCCTCAATTGAGGCGAAAATGAGAGCATCTTCCACTGCCAGGACTGCGAAGCCAGTGATCATCGTCACTAAAGATTGCGGCAATATCTCTATATTTCTCCGGTCCCGAAGACATCATTATCTCTACCGTGATCCCGGCAATCCTTTTGCATTTCCCTGGTCGCAAAGACATCACAAGCCCTCTCTCATGATTGTGGCAATACCTCGATATTTCCTGTCGTTTACTAAATATCTCCAGGCGGTAATATGTTGACAATCCCCGCGATCTCGACGAAATCAATAGTATATCTTGCGTTTGCAAAGTCATCATGTTAATAATAAATTAGCCAAAATTGTGTTGCAAGTGTTAATGGAACTAAAAAAAATTGAGAGCCTAATATAAAAACCATTGTTGCTAATCAATAACAACAATATGTAAAAATAATCCACCCTCCCCCCCACCAGAAAATCTCAGTACCTCAAGTGCACGTTGGTTGGAAGGACAGAGATAAAAAACGTATTATGGCTACATTAAATGTACATTAAAAGTAGAGGAATTGGACAGTTGTTTAGGTACCCAATGTATACAATTTTTATACATTGAGTACCCAAACAACTGTCCAATTCCTCTACTTGACTTCACACTAGGTTTATTTAACCAGACATTCATTGGACAACTTGGATCCCCAGTTAGTTTAGTGTACGATATCAATGGTTGTAGTACTTTATGTGATGTTCAAATACCTTGGAGAGATCCCTGTAGTTGCTGGGAAGGCTAAGGTCGAGCTCCTTTGACTCATAGTTGGTGAGAACCCACGGAAACACCGGGTACTGGTTGAGGTCATTGTAAGTTCGACCTGTAAACATGAAAAAATAAAACATTAACACCATCAAATCTTTATGGCGTGAAAACTTAAAATCTTGAAGGCTTGCTATTTTATCAAGGAAAATTGGATAAACTTATTTTTAAAGATTTATTTATTGAAAAAATGTCTTGACAAAATTTTACTATCAAAATTACGATGTAGATCGTATAGTGATATTTTAAAGCGATTAAAGATTTAAGGCAGACGTTGGAGAGTTTCTGGTGTAGTCAAGTTTCTACATCATTGACAGCTACTTGAATAGATGTCCAAAATAGTAAAGTCAGTCCTAGATTAATCCTAGATTATTCATGGTCTCAAAGAATTGTCTAATCCCTTGACTCAAAGGACCACGGATGGTGAACTCATGTATCATCTATGTCTGGATGAATTTAAAAGTCGCTTGTCTGTCGAGTAAGAAACTTCACAAAGGTAGGAATCTTTGATATAATTATTCTGTCCGCTCCTCGCTAGAGGAAGCAACCCCTCAAGACAAGTTTGTTTTGAGTTATCCGTTCCGAAAATACCCAGTCTGATTGGAAGTTTTAAAACAATTAGATCTAAATCCGCCTTCGTCGCGGCGCGGCCAACACACGTCAGCTGTGATCACCGGTCGCCACTTATCTCCCGCCAAAAAAACAGCTGTTTCACCCAACTCGCGCCGAAATAGCGTCGAGCACAAAGAGTAAGCGACTCCTCCTATTGCCGGGAACTACCATCACTGTCGCAGGCTATCATGTCAAACGCTAGCCTCGCACACCGGGCGCCGCAGTGTCTATATACACTCAGGTCAACCTATCACAGCTGATAGCTTCAAGAAAAGTTCCACATACAAACCTTAACATAGGTATTTAATTATTGAACGATTGTTCGTAGAGGTAGATTTTACTAAAACAGAGAAAATAAGTATCTTCCGTTACTTGGTAATTAGACCTCTGTTGGAAGACTTCTAGCTTCCTTATTAAATTGGGCATTTCGTATAAAAAAAAATTTTGATAGCAGAAAAGGAAGATAAAAAAATAACACAACTAATAGTGAAAAGTGTCAAGCGTTGCAAAATGTATTCAGGACACCCCAGGGTAATCAAATGTTGTACATTAACAATATCTCGGATAGTACGGGTTTATATTTTTGCTTCAAATTAATACAAACCCAACCCAACATTTTTTTTTCATAAAAAACACGGAGGATAATAATTGACAAATAGAACATTCAAACTTGTTTACGTTATAAAAAAAATAGCAGAGATGAAGTTACCGGAGACCAAATATGAAGAACCTTTTGAACAAATACGTTAAACCCCCACCAATTAATGCAGTTTGAAAACTTTACAAAAAATAATGAACGTGATCTAACTACTAAACAGCACTTGACAACTGTCTTGGGTGTAGCGCTGGGGTTCAAATACAGTAGTGTACTGTAGTTAACGCCTGCAAAACTACAACTGTATCCCCCACGACATTGCCGGTCTCCAGAACGCAGTTTCGGATGTGCAGGAGGTCGAAATACAACAATTTCAATGTAGCTTTTACTACACACTAGAAAAATTCCTTAAAAAAATCATTCTAATCAATCAGTATAAGCCAATTAGAAAGTTAGCTCCGTCAGGACAACGCAATAGTCGTTTTGTGGTTTACTATTTTCCTCTATTTAATCGATTTTAAAACCAATAGAAGATACATTTATAAACTAGATTTCCTCATATTATAACCAAATAGTAAATCACAAAATATAGTAAAATCTTTGATAAAACAAGAGAGGAAAATTTTGTCGACATAAGCTTATCGAAAGGAAACATATAATTGCATGTTTTGCAATATGTCAAGTGAATACAATATGTTAGTGAATGTTAAGTAGAATACACTTGTACTATTTGAAGTTAATTATTTTACTATACGCTCGGAAAAAGGCTTGTAGTAAAAAAATAAAGCAAAAAACAATAAATTAATTTTATTTTCAAATAAAAGTTTTAACAACAACATTATTGAAAAAGGGTTTAAATAGCGAAACAAAGTTTAAAACTCCCTACAAATAGGACAAGTTGACATAACTATATCTAAAATAGTAGGTTTAGAAATCAATATTTATAAAACAATGAAGCAACTTTTGTACTATGTGTATTTGCCAAAGATGATTCAGACCCGTCACAATTGTTAGTGGCGATTTTTACCACCCGGTGACGATATACGTGTAATCCGATATATTGTATTACACAGACTTTACACCAAACAAACTTCGCTGATAGTTTTACGAACATTTAGATGAATCAGAATCAAAATTACTACAGTATAGTGCGGTAACTATAGTCGGGGGTGGAATAATCGAATAATGGGAGTTCCCAAACATCCATTCTGGTTCCATTCGCTCGAATTACTTGTCCGCTACATTGTACAACAGAATCTTTTATTATGTGGAGCAGATAGAATAATCGAGAACGCGTAGAGCATTCAAAAAAGTTATCTTCGACTACAACTCGTTACAATCGTCAGTAGCCTACCAATTCTTTTACGACATTTATGTTAAATACACGCTACAATTCCAGATCCTCCTCTATAACTTCATTTCTGAACTTAAAACAAACCATCTATCCATCTAACAGACAATTCTTACAAGAAATACATTAGGGCACTAACCAAAATATTTCACTGACTCAAATTACTCACAACTAAAAATCAGCGATCACGAAACTCGTGTTCAGACACATACTAATGTATGTCCCACATCAACACACGACTTCCCTCCATCACCCGCGTTTAGTTGACATTTACCCGCGTTTTCACACGTCCAGGACGGCTGTAGATCGCCGTGTTTACGAGCTGCTCGTCTCCGTGTAACCTGACTCCGAGCTCCTCAGGTCGTCTCGTGCCGCGTAAACCCTCGTAGTTTATATACCTGCGACCTGCGACCTGTTAAACCTCGTAGTTTATATACCTGCGACCTGCGACTGTAGTTGGGACACGTGCGGTCAGAGGTTGATCGAGTTCAGAAGTTCACGTCAATTGCGATCCAAATTGGGAAAACGAGAGTTTGTAAAAGGTATATATATGAAATTCATAACTATGCAGAAGTATACAGTAGGTATACATCTCCAAGATTCAGAAAAAATGATGAGATCACAATAAACGATACTCGAAACGTATATCTTCGAGATTAAGAACTTTTAGAAGCATATATTTGAGATTCACATTCATTGAATGGTTTAAAAATTCCGTGTTAAGAAGTGTGATGAGGCTAGAAGATTTATAACTCTAAATATTTATGTCTCCAAGATTCAAAACTGTACAGAGGTATAAGTTTGAGTTGAAATAATCCAATGAAGTGAATAAATCCGAAGTTCAAAACAATGGCAAGGTTCATCTTCGAAATTCAGAACTCCAAGAAGCTAAGATCAGAGCCTCTGGTCAGGTATATCTTTAAAATTCGAAACTGTGTTAAGAAAAAATCTCCGACATTCCATTACTGGTTTAGGTTTACGTTTAGTTCAACATTTTATTCACTATTCCGAAAACAATCACAGTTACAGTATTCAGGTTCCTCCTGGAAAATTTTAGGTTTTCACACATCATGTACTTCATGTAGGAGCTATTGATCATAATCGTATTGAGATTTCAGTTGAGTGGCAATACCTTGCAACCGCTGTTCAAGTACGAATTAATTCGACAATAGACCCATATAAGGGCTTCTGAAACTGACACCTTTCGAGGGTAAAAATTAAATATAGACACTGCATGTTTATAATTTACAACCAATCCCGTCCCTTATAATATCAAACATCCCAACCACCAACGAAGCCGAAGCTCTTACACGCGTCTAAAAATAATGTCACATGTCACTAACTTTTACGAGCGGCGAAAAAACCGTGTAAAATGTTTTAGTGGAACCGCGCTCATCCGATGAAGAGATTATAATTAGGCTTCTTTACGACGCGGCTATTTACACGACATACGACTTGATCTCGTCGTAAACCGTTTACCAACACGTGGTTCTGATTACGCGCGAGTCCCGTCGTAATCGTAAGTAGTGGGAATTTGTCTGGAGAGCCTTCGGAATCTTTGGTCCTTCGAGCCGGATAAAAACCTCTCAACGTTGAACAATTTCCGATCCCTTTCAAAACGACGCCGCCGTGCGCCGCCGACGCGGCTAAAAGCCTCCCAGATAGTGGTGACAGTCGCTAGTAATTCATTTTCTTTCGGACAAAACGGATGGGAATTTATATGGTGTGAATGGGTTGGGTAACCGATCGCGTTCCATGTGGCTCCGGATGTTCTAGAGTTGAATCATTTGATCAGTCGTCGGTGTCTACAATGCATAGCTTTTGTCTGAAGCATAACTATACTAGGTTGTACACCTGATATTATTTTGGAACGTAAAACAATGTATATGCATTTTTGAATGGGAAGCTTTGAATGTAGGACCTTTTTAAATGGTTTAATTTTTGTCGAGTTAGCACCGGGGTAAAAGTTTGAAGTGATTTATATAAAATAAAAAAATTTGTTTTAATTCGGATTTAACGAATTTTTGTCATTTGAAACCACAAGACGTTTTTAACTCCTGACTTCACTAGGCTACATATCATTCTTCTCCTTGTTTGCTATTACTACTTTAAGCTCTGTAAACGGCAGTACGAAACAAAAGGACTAAAAGGCAAATTTTCTCAAGATAGATACTACAATTACACAACAACTAAGAGTAAACAAACAGGACTTTAAAAAATCTCCCACAATCTCAGCACCGATTCAATATTGAACCCCTTTTGAAGGGACAAATGTTTGTTGGTCATTAGCCAGTTTTACGGCAGCCATAACGAGAAACGTGACGAGCCGTTGCTCATAAAATTAACGTCAAAACTAAACCACCAAAACCCTTCTGAGTCCAATAACTTTGGGACCTCCCAGTTTTCGTTGGGTGATTTACTGGGATGCGACCCACACGGGTGTCCCATAAGTCAAAGTGATGTTGCCGGGTGCAATGGGGCGACACGGGTGAAGAGGCCGAGGAGTTGCGAACTTAATGAAGCCACCAACAAGCAACCCATCAGGCGGGTGGCGCCTAGTGAATCTACGACCAAACAAAATACTCTTGGAAATGTTACACCACGAAGTTCCCAGATCAAAGTAGTGAAAAACAGGATGATAATAGTATGTAGGCCAGCGAGCAAACCACACGCACAACTTTAACATTTTGGGATTGATCAGGGAGGAAAATATCAAATTAGTTGTCGTTAAACCAACTGTCTGCGAATAATTCGTCCGCATAATTGTTTACATTCAAGATCGCGTGGAAGCGAAAACACGCGGTGTCACGCTACCATCCTCTATTTGACATTCGACCAACGAGTCCCGAAAAGATATAAACGGCAATAAAGAATCAGTGAATCCACCCTCTTTTTACACTCTCAGTACTCCGGGTCGGAATTTTGAAATGGGCGTCTCCAATTATGAGATTTTTGAATGAGACCAAAGGGCAAGAAACGCGAGACATTCCCCGGCTCAAAAAGAAGTGTTGAAACTGGCACCGCGGCAAAAACGTGTGCGATAACGAACCAGTTGGGTTGACAATGGTGGTGACGGTGAACTGGTTCAGGTGATTTGTGAGACGACGGCCATCTTGCGTCACCGGGTCTGCATTGCGCATCCGACACTCAGCACTGCGCAGGAAGCTGATCACTGCGCGTCGAGTTCTGCACAGAATTACACAGCAGAAGTGAGCTCGTCATGCTCAACCAGCCACTAAGCAACAAATCTTCCACCGGACGGCGTAATTTTTATATTTTACAGTAATGCGTGATTCACTCTCTGCAAATGATAAACAAGTAGCAAGAGAAGAGCCGTTGAGTTTGTGTTTGGTGTGCTACGAAGTAAATAAAATGAGAAACTGATCAATCTGTGAGAGGACATGACAACTTTATAGCCAAACCGAGAAGCTTCCACATGGAAGTCGATGGCAGATGCACACACTGTGGAGAATTGGAGATATCGCAGTAACTTAACGAATCGTAGGTTTTATTAGGAAGAACGAGGTGAAATAAATGAACTAATACAGTGTTCATCTATTTGGTAGAAGATAAACTTACTCAGAAGAAAGATATTCGCGATAAGATCGTAGTCTGTAGTTGTGTGTAGGATGATAGAAGAGAGAAGAGTTACGATTTTCGGGAATCTTGAAAAATGAACCTGATTGCCAGACGAAATGTAAAAGGAGTGGAAGAAAATATGAAGAAAGCATCAATCCCGGTGATATTAGTGGTTTCTTTGTTTTGGTGGGCACAGATAAAGAAGAAGAACTAGGATGATGGTTCAGAGAAGCGGCTTGGTGAATAAGTGTTCGACTCAATCAGGAGTAACCACAGGCTTTGGCCAAATGCCTCTCAGCAACTGATTTTATTTAGTACGTACTCCAGTGTTCACAGTTAAACATATTTAGCGAAGCATTATTTTAATGAAATGGCATTAAAACTATCCTGTTTATAAACATGTCATTTTGTCTTTCAAATAAGTGTTTTCAATACCCAAACAACGTAAAATTGATTGAGTGAACTGATTTAGCAAATTGAGTCCTATTTGCACACCATTTAAAATTTACGATAAAAATCTGATGTGCCAATAAAAATGTAAGATTGTTGAGCTATACACTATACACAATAATGCGTATTACAAGTTCTATTTAAGATTACACTCGCGATGGAAAACCATTTCCTTTAGTGGACAAACTCGTTCCACAATACAAAAAAGATTGTCGAAGCTTTCAGTCCATCAAAACTAACTTAATCATATCATTACCAGGATCATTCAGACCGGGACCCTTCAATCTATCATCATCCTTCAAGCCACCCCAACGTTGCTGCAGGCCAGAAATCAATTAGCAGTACCGGTAGCGAGGGGGGGGGGGGGACGGGGGGGGACACGTAACAATCCCTTGACGGACAGCAAATCCAAACAAACGTCAGTACCTGTGAAGGCAACAATTTGTCACGAGGGTTGTCCGCTGTCTGCGCGGGGGAGGCTAAATGAGACCGCATCGGCGTACCCCAGGGTTCACTACTCGGACCGCTTTTGTTTGCACGCTATCCACATGTTTGTTCTCATCTTCCCTCCGGTCGCGTCCTTGATTTATCATCTATCGATTGTACCCACTCAGCTGCCGGTTGCGAGAGGGAGGTAATGCTTAAAAAGGTGATGTAACACCACATGGGGATGTAACAATTGTGGTGGTCGGGGTGAACGATAACGGTAGAGTTTTTAATATAATGGTTGTATTGCTTCGTATTCGCAATTCAACTTGTAGTGAGGTGAAACAATAATTTTTTATCTGAAATACATTAGTGTTTTCAAAAGGTGGTGTTGACACTTACTCTGGTGTAAAAACAACCCTACTACTAGAAACAATTGTTGGAACTTGAAGAACACTTGCTGTATACTTTGGACAAATTATAGTACGATGCTGGTTTCATTCCTCGGCCTATTCTGGAGAGAGAGACGATATTATTTATCTTTAGGCTACTGATGAATGATATAAGACAGGCTAACGTTAGACAGTGAAAAGACCAGAGTTTAGATCGTCTCCGAAAAAGAGAATGGAGTAATGGAGTGGAAAACACAACATTTAAGTTTCAATATCTCGATCCCTATTATGTACACGAAACCACTCACGGACTAGAAATTAGCATCATGCAGATATGAAATTTTACATCACAAAATCTAAAGATCCCAAACATTTGCACTGGGACTGTCATACATTTTATTTTCACGTTCTACAACACTGGCTCGCACCTTTGTTCAAACTGTTCTGCAACAGTAACCGTATGTTCCACGACAATTTCTCACTTGACCAACTACCATAAACCAGATGAAGAGTGGAATGTGGCAGATCGTAATAAAACTCTTATTCGTTTTACAACAGCAGTAAACTCGGTTGTCAGACTTTTCTTGTCGCCGAGATGTTCCTCCCAGAAGAATTCCTGGAATGCAGAGACCGGACTGGATATGTTGGCTAGTACACGGGTGCTCAATATGCAAATGTCCCTTCGCATTTTGTTTTCTTTTACAGAATTCAGACATACCGCAGAAGGGAGATTGGAGATAGGTGAATTTATGTTTGAAATATGTCACCCTTGTTGGAATTTACGAGAATTGTTTTAATTAATGGCCGGAGCGAGCCATTTTTTGTGTCTGCGTACGGTTTTGTGTTACCCAACTGAATTCCTTAAGCTCGAGTACTTATGTAATTTATTTGGAATGAACTTTATTAATATTCCGAAAAAGTTATTGTTTTTCTATTCCCGATTTACTAGTACTGTACTCAAAATCTGACTAACTAGCTGAATTATATCACACCATTTTTGGATTTTTTATTAAGAAAATAGGCTATGTCTACAATCAACAAGTATAAATTACCACGCAAAATCTTTTGACAACAACATAGGGAGATTTATTTTTGTAGCCTGTATACTGTTCAGGCGGAAAGCTGTCAGCGAGGCCAAAAACCTGCTAAGGTTTGAGTGGCCAACTAGGTAAGGTAAGATAATACTCTTCAAAAAATCAGAAAGAATTCAAGAAATCAATTGGAGTGTGAAGCATTCAAACGGTTTACGTCAAATAGGCTTTTGTGGCCAAACAACTTCTACACAAGTCTTGAAAGTATTTAGATGTTACGAGGAATTCATACAAAGAAGTCCAACACTTAATAGTTTTGCTAAGAGCTGCAACTAATATGCATATTATTGAAGTACTGCTGAAAAATTCCAAATATTTTAAGGGACGCTCAAAATTTTGAAGGCGCACTCACCAGCGATGGTGTTGAGGAACATTAGGTATTCAAAGTTGGATATCTCCCTGCGCTGCCACTTCTGCGTCATGTTCGAGTTCCTCATCAGCTGACGCGCAGACATCATGGAGGCTCTCCTGGACAAGAGACAGAACATGACTCAGGTTGGAAAAGTAAAATACAATTTACAGATGTACTATAGAAATACCAGTACTCAATGATGGACAAGTTGGAAGTAAAAGGACGTGCCTTATTATTTGATTATGGTAATTCAAATCTGGAGCTAAATGATTCTTTGATTCTTTCTTTCACACAGCACCTTCTCTAGTAAAGCTTACCTGGTCTGCGGTATGCCGTACTTGATACCGACTCCGACTCTGGGCAAAGCCTTGATGACCCTCTTGACAGTGGCTTGGTCTGGGAATGCGAACATGATTGAAGCTGAAACAGAAAAAAAAACACGATTTGTCAACAAGGGAAGAATATTCATGTTTCTGTCACTTGACGTTATTATTTTAGCTGCAATAATTTGCCCCTAACCACTATAAAGAAACTAAAGCATTTCAATCAGGATAAGAATTGCATCTTTCATTGGTAAGCATGCGTGCAGATTTGTCCATCTTTTGAGAGAGTTGCCACTACATCTCAGAATGCTAAACCAAGATTCTAGGAAAAAAATTACAAACTGCATATTGGTTAACTATATGCCGATATATTGGACTTCTTCTTCTCTAAAGCAGGACTGTCTAAAAATGGATCAATGATTCCTGGACGATACAAATCACTAATCTTCAAAAACTATTTTAAAACTTTTCGAAAACATCTAGCTCAGTTCTGTTTTTACAAGATGGCCAATTATGTGGGTTCATATAACAGACGTGATTCCCTCGCAGACACACGTCGAAATAAATGATTTTTGGATTTTGAAATCCGTAAAAGGGGGAAATGGAATATTACAAGTTCGAATCCAAGCGAAAAAATTTCCAGACCCAGATGCCATTCATCATTGGGCTATGTAATGATGCTATCTAACAAAAAGGTCGACGTTAGATAGTAACAAGACCAGGATTTGGACCGTTCCCTTTCAAAACGTAAAAAATGCCACTGGCGTAGAAACACACACAAAAAGCATACAGTCTTAAGAGAATAAACATTCAAATGCAAATGCATTGTAATATCTTGTATACTATAAAGCTTCGCTTGAAATTAATACAAGAGCTTTATTTAAATCCTAAAAAAATACCAAAATCTTGAAACACCAAACCTTGACATATTTTAAACAAATCAATCCCATTGAATAGCACACATCGAGCAAAAGTAGTGATAGAAAATTTCAAACTCACAAAAAACACCCCGATCTGTCACCATATCTGTCACGACAGGACGACCGGTTTAATAATATTTACAGCGGGCGAGCGTGAGACATAAACGACGAAATGATTAGATTACTGACGAATTAAAGCGGGGAGGACTGCTGTGTTTGTGCGTAAATGAGTTACAGGACGAGCATTAACAGAGCATCCCTCGCCCTTCTGTAATGTGATTATAGCGAGGGACGCAGCCTTGCAGAGTGGAGTGGAGTCTGATGCTGCTCTTGAATTATACTATAACATTGGCGATGAGCTAGACTTTCGTCTCGAGTTTGTCTTTAGTATTTCACTTTGATTTTGGACTAGAGTTTGGCCCTGAATGTAAGTTAGTGTAGAATTACACTTTAGTTAAATACTTTTCTGTTGAAATAGACTTTGATGGTGGACTAGACTTTGATCTTGAATTAGGATTGACGCTGATCTAGACTTTGAAGCTAAAACAGACCTTGACGCTGAACCAGACTTTGACTTTGATATCATTTGACTCTGAACTATAATTTAAGTTGTCAACTAAAATTTCCTGAACTAAAAGGTTGTCCTCGAGTAGAGTTTGGTGCTCAACTAAACATTGTTTCTTTGGTGAAATTCAAAGTCCTGAAACACAACAGTAAATGGATTCTGGATGTAGGAAAAAACTGTCCTATCACTGCCTGTCTTAGGTATTTCCCCTTTATTCCATGACCACTTTACTTCAACCTTGAAGATTATTGTAGATTATTGAACTATCTACTCTTAAAGATACGATTACTTTAAACCCAAAAGATTATAGCGTATTGCGTTTTCTTTAACTCTTTGCCACTCCAACCATTTTTTTACTTCAAAGAGTTCCTTAAATGTTTTCAATTTGAAACTCAACCAAGTCAATAACAGCTTTTTAACTTGTCAATTACAGTATCTTCATGAAATTGATGAAATATTCGTTTTCAAAGTGCTTCAAATACTATTTGTGACTCTACGTGCATAAATTTAACACAACTGTTTGTCTAAAAATAACACATTTGAAATTCATTTCCTTATCAAATTGTTGAGATCCAATTTCAATTAGGACTGCTCACTCACATCGTACATCCAACAACTCATGATTAATCTCTGCAACAATCCAAACACCGAATTTGTCAAAACCCTCAATTACTCCAGAGAACCTCCGCAGGTCGATTATGACAACCTGATATTTACGATCGCCCCCTCATAATTATCGAGAATTATTTATTCTCGTGTCGTTTAATTGGTGTAAAAAACCGGCCGATTGAATTCGTGACTGGCCGCCTGTCTAATTGATATAATTAATCGCTCGGTTTTCTTGGTTGTCCGCGTTGTTTTGCCACTTCAAAGGACCGACGTTGTTGCTTTATCGGGTTTTGAGGTTTGGAGGAAGGCGGCGCCTCCAGGCTGGGATCATCCGCGCGTTTAATCTGACAGATTAACGTTTCAAGATGGAAAGTTCTCATCGTTAGCAAACGTTCCACATGCTAGATCGCGGAGTTTCTAGCAGAAAGTTTGTAAGATGGTTTAATTACCAGAGCAATCCCTGGTTGCTGCATTGGCAGAGTTTTGGTTCATAGTTTGAATCATCTTCAGACTTACAAGAATTATCATTCTCACGATCTTCTGAAGTTGGTTCAACCAAAGAAGCGAAGCTTGCCAACTCGGCAGCCAAGCATTAACTTTTATGCGTGTTCTTTGTACAGTAATGTTAACAAAAGGTTCAAAAACACTGATCAGTTCATTTGTATCTTGTGGGGGCACAACATTCAGTTTCAAAATGATACTTTAAATGAACTTTTTGTGACAATGTATTTGCATGTTTGGCAATGCCGAGTTTGTCTGTACCTTGTGTATTAAAAGTATATTAGTGCTCCTTATATCGATGATAAATGTAAATCGAAGAAGTAAAACCATTGACTTTGGATATACATTCACATTTTAGTATCATAATTCTGAGATAACGTTACCAGAACATGTTTATAGAGAATCTCTAAATTCAAAAACATATTTTCATTGTCTTACAACTTTAAACAGCCCTAGAAATAACATAAAACACCCAGGGACCTTATTAACAATGTTTCACTCCCAATTTTTACATTCAGAAATATTCTGTACTATTGCTGTCTTTAGATAATTACATTCCAATTTTTAAACTATATTTGTTGCTTTTCCCAAACGAATATGCATATAAAGTATTTCTTAAATGCAATCCCTTCAACTGAGAGAAATATCTCCTTGAGTCTCTTTAGGAGTTAAGTACAGCAACAACCTGGCAAACCGACCATAGTAAAACCGTGGAGTGATTTGGCATCAGACGACCAACTAAACACTGACCAAGGCCCACTTGATCTGCTCCTGTCAAAATAAGCTAATTTTCACTGATGTTGGCAAGCCTGCTGGCTTTCACTGTCGTAAGGTTGGCAGCAGTGATAAGTTTAAACAGCTGTAGACTCAACAGAAACGCACGTTTGACTTTTATAACCTCAGAAATTAGTTGTGATCATTACTAGTTCTATGTGGTGAGGATTTAAGATAGGAGCTTTTTGAAGTCAAATAATGATGGAAATTTATTAGCCCATGGGATTTTATTTGGCCAGATGAAACAAAATTGTCTCTAAAATCCTCTGAAACTGGCAATGTCGTTAGCTGCCCCAAATCTTAGTAGGACTGGTATTAATAGGGGAAAACTAATACAAATCTTTTCCGGTTACAATATAAGTTTTATTAAAATCGAACCGTAACTCTTTCCTGAGCGTGCATAATCTTGTGAAATGTTAATTGATTATTCATAACAACCATATGTAAGGCAATTAAAAAAAATAGTTGGTTTAGGTTTTATTAGCTCATGTTAAAGTACGTTACGTAATATTTTTTTTCAATAATTGCTTATGCAACAAATACCTACCAATTGCTCGTAAAATGAATTCTAAGTGCACAGGTCTTCTGAAAAATACCTAAAGAAACTTCATAGTTCATTTTACAGTGATCATCCGTTTTCGAAACCTTATTCTTCATCAGAAAATTACACATACAAACGTCTACGCGTTACAAGGGGTTGGTGAACTTTTTTATAATTCCGTCCCAGTTTTAGTTGAGCAAAAAGAACTTGCGCGTTCTCCCAGAATGTTCTGCTAGCGCCATATGGCTGCTCCAGGTGGATTCAGCCTTGGGCAATAGAGGCCTCGGATTTGCTTTTGGGACTTCCTCCGGGATTAAAGGATTCAAAAGACGTTAGCACGAGCGTTGCCATATGTCTAACTGATCCTCCCAACCTTTCACCGGCGAGGGGCTTCAAAGCGGACAGGTCGGCTTAATTGTAACGCAATATGTCTGCAAATGGGCAAATGGCAGATGTGAGCACTTTGGTGGTTCAGGAGAATCTTCATTGAATCAACGTGGATAGTTGTGTTAAATGAACGCGCAACTGTTGGTTTGGAAATCGTGACGTATGAAAGTAATCAATCTCACCTAACAGATTAAGAGATTGATAATGTTTGCTTCCGTTTTAACTCCGTATAATAATAAACAATTCCTCGACCTCTCAGTATTTCAGAGAGCTAATGTGACTAAAAACCTGAGAGATGCATTGACTATACCATATGGTCAATGGTTACTGGTTAAAGTACAAGACTCTTCGAAACTGTATCTACAACCATTCCTGAATCACATAAAGTGTACTTTTAACAGTCAAATGAAGTGATCAGATTTGATAAATGTTAAACGGAGTTTTATAAAATCATTTTAGAAAGACTTACTAAGTACTTGGTCATAACTCGTTTTTTGTGTGTGGTGGTATTATTAATGCCATTGGAGCTTTTTTGTGCTTTGGAGAACGGTTTATATCCTGGTCTTGTTACCAACTGACGTTGACCTTTTGTCAGTTAGCATCATTAATTTATGGCCCAACCCAACTACAAATGATCACAACCAGAAACCCTTGGACGAACACTACAACCCAGGCTACCCAGACAATTCTCACAGTATAAATTGGCAGATATTTAATGCGTAGATAAACATATTTACAATTTTTACAATTTTGGATACACTCCTTCATGTGTAAAACTCGTGCATCATTAAAACTTTTATTCTTCACCTCTAACATTTTACAAATACGCACTTTGAAAAAAATTACATAGTCTACCCCAACAAACTGAACTATTTACAAGCCTCTACTGTAGTTGTATTTGTACTCACTTCTACTCGCCAGGAAGATCTCGATGGCGACATTCTGCAGCAGGTAACGTCTGGAGAAGATGGCGCGTACCTCGGAGAAATACCACTTGCCGTGAAGATGATCACAATACTTCAACACCTGCAACAGAATATCTCGGTTGATCCACAAGGCAAAAATATACAAGATCAATTATCTATCGCTGTAACTGCAGCCATCGCCACCTTGGTGAAGAACTGGAGCTGTTTGGAAACTTAATGCTATTATGCCAAATTAATTTGAGAGTAGGATTTGAAAATTGACGAAGAAACTTGACGGCTTCTTCAGCCAGAGATATGTTTGAATAAAAAAAAATGTTATTGTTTCAATACTAGTCTAGTATACTAGTAATATTCTACTTTATTTGGATGTAAATTGGTATACAAATTAATTATTTCTCACCAAATTCATAAACATAAGCACCTTAATTGTGCGATCTTTTGCACAAACCAATCTTACCGAATGTGTACCATTGATTCGGTGAGAAGGACGAAATTCTTGATGGAATAAATAAGGTTCTAAGGCAAATCATTAATCTAGATCAATATATTACAAAGTATATGTGTAGGTGTACATACAGAGGAATCTGAGTTAAAAGACCCTTGATAGTGTGTCATTTGCAAATACTGTACGCTTGATTTTGTATTACTCCTAATCCCATGGTTATTGCAAACCTTAATAGAAAGTCTAACTTGATAACTATTCTTATTTGATAATTCAGATGAATATCGAGGTTCTACTGTTTCGCACATGGCCTCCTTCGGTAGATGCAATAGAAGTACCTAAGGTAATTGTATGTGACGGTTGATATAAAACTAATCTACATGTGATCAACGTGATTGGCACAATATAACTGGCTATTAAGGCGTTTGTCTCTATAACAACCCATATGATTGTTTCTTTACAGACAAAATATTTACCCTCCGCCCAGACCCGGTCACCCGACACCAGAGGTCCCTCCCTCACCCAACTCCCTGTAGTTATCCTTCGCAGGATCGCGCGCCGGTTTTTGTCAACAAACCCGGTCCTATCAGCATTTCGCTCGATCATTTATCTCTATCACTTTGTTCCGTTGACATCTTTAGTTCCCTCATAGCTTATGATATTTTCTCGTCGTCTTCGCCTTCTTCGGTCGCGCGGTTCGCGGGTTTTTGCGCAGCCTGATTGATCTGCGCGGCGACGCAGGTGTTACGCATGCGCAGTGCTTGTGTGACGGACGAGTTGGGCTTGTCCGTGTGCGGGGTTTGAATTGGCGTTTTATCGCCAACGCAAGAGAAATTACACACTGAAGAATGTCGTTGAAAAATTCAAGAGTTTCCAATCCAAGAAAATGTTTGAACTGTTAGCGTTCGAATCACTTCTACATTTAGCAACAAATTATTTTACATTCCATTCAAACTCCTCCGACATCACACTTCGCGAAGACTTCCACACCGAAGACTGAAGATTCGCCATTTAACCGTTTGGAGTTGACAACACAAGATGTAACATGTAAGCAAACATAAGCTTGTAATGTCGCAGCAAGTAATCAAACCATCGGCTATGACATAAATAGCTACCAGAACACGGTAAATGCTTAATTCTTTTCCAAACAACCACAACTATGAGTTCTCATCAAGAACTGAACAATAATCCCCGAACTGCTCCAGATTTGCACTAGACGTGAAGCGATCAACAATGTAACGTTTCTACTAATGTGCACATGTGACAATTCAATAATCTTTTATGTCAAGAAGTTGCACAAACCGCTCCTTCACTATTTTTTTTTCAAAAGCTTTTAAAACTCCCCAAACACCCGATCCTAGAGTAGAGCTTTGATGAAAAACGCAACGTCTTCGACACCAACACATTGAAACACCCCTCTTGACACCAAACAGAAAGGCTACAATGCTTTCCCAGGACAAGAGGTGAGAAGTCCTCGGGGCAATAAAGCAATTAAACCCGCAGGACATCCACGACATCTGCGGCAGGACAACGGAACACATCACGAGTCGGACTTTATGGCGGGAATAAACCGCATTGAGGCGGGAGACAATAAAAGGAGGGAATAAAACAGGTGTGATAAGACTGCCCTGTGGTACTCCGAACACTGTGGCTCGTATATCCTATAGCTGGGGCGTCGTAAAGGAGATTCTTGTATGGAGAATACTTCGCAAACAATAAACGTTGAACTTTGACAAAGACTCGAGCATCATACAAAAAAAAAATACTTGGGAATCGCAAGACTATTATACTTTTTGATACTTTACATGAAATGTCAAAAAAGATCACTGTAGAAGATACATAAGACATGTAGGGAGCTAATATTCAACAAATAAATTTGAAGATCATATCATTTACGGTTGTTTCAAGCACTTGTGTACGAGATTAGCAAAACAGATGATTCCTTTTGCCTTTAAAATATACTTTTGGTAAGATAGGCCTGCAAAAAAGAAAGGAAGACCTAAAATCAGAAGTTATACATTCACTACCAACGTAGCAATATGTGATTGGAAAACGGTCTACGAAACCAATACACACAAAAAACAGTTCCAAAAAATCGGTCGTCTTAAAACAACCTCAAAAATATTTTGTTCTATATGCTTATAGTAACTTAGATGATTAGTATTATTGACCATTGATAATTTATACACTGTTAATACACTGTTTGTAGTCGGTGGTACCGTCGAACTGCCCAAAACATTTGAGAGTTAGAGCCGAATAAAAATAACTTTCGATTTGATTGCATTTTCCTTTCGTTTCAAGAACCTCTATACCAAATGTGTTGAAGTATTTTCATCTCCCGAGGTTTTCTGTCTCCCGCACCTGTGGCTGTGTCTCTCCATATTTAGTATGCAGGCTCGCTGGGCGCTGCAACACGGATTGCCCATTTACAGCGATATCGGCCTTGTTTTTTACCCGATAAGAGAGAGAGAGAGAGGGAGGGAGAGAGAGAGAAGGGGAGAGAGAGAGTTTTAGAGGGTGATGACAGGGCTACCAGGTGGTGGTTCCCATGCAGACCTCCACACGGCGGGAGTTGTATCCATAGGATGGGATATCATCACTAATAAATGGCTAATAAAACAGAAAGATACTGCGTAATTGTATACACAGTGCTAAAATATAGGTTTTTTATAACCACATACATTTAGGGGTTAGACATCACTGACATCAGTCATCATGAAAAGTGAAGTAAAAAGTGGTTTTTACATTGTTCTCACTAACCATCATATTAGTTGATTTCATATTATTTTGACGGTTTGTTAACACCTAACAAAACAATGTATGAGATAAACTACTTTATACCTCCATCATCCAGTCCAGTCTCATTAAAGCAAACCAAGTAAACAAACGAAAGCTGTAAATGTAATCGACCAAAATGCCCCACTTACAGATTGCTGTACCAATATCGTAATGATTTTTTAGACTTTTAGACAGAGAATATGAATCCACCACACGCGAATTAGCCACACTGAGCTTGAAACGTGAAAACAGAGTAGTGAATAACTAAACTGAAACAAGTTGTAATTCGAGGTATAAGAATAAAATTATAGCAAAGGTGTAATTTTAGAATAACAGAAGAACCCCCAACTACGAAATCATAAAAATAACACCCCCTGCCAGATTAAAGTTAATTTTACAAATATAATGTTTCAAAATGTCCATGTAATAAATATTTATGTTTTATGCATGGAAATATTTTACAGTGTTAGCAAAACGGGAGTGCCGATGGAGACCTGTGGGGGTGCGTGCGTGTGAAGGGACTTGACCTGGCCTCCATCGGCACTCCCGTTTTGCTAACACTGTAGGCTTGCGTTATTTAGTTTACTTTTTCCAACTAAGGTTATTAATATTAATATAATATCAGGTTATTATATTTAATTAAGTGTAGAGTCACGTGTAACTTGATCTCATTGAAGATTTTTCAATTTCATTCTTTTTCTTATTCAGTATAGGAAACCCTTGTACGAATTCATCTTCCTATCCCTAACTCCATTGGTCTCCCTGTCCCGCACTCTACTGATGAAGCTGTCCCTCCCTCAGTCCCTAGGGACTCTTCTCCCACGGGAACTTCCCGATTACCGAAACACCGTGATTACAGCATCCCTCATCGCCGCCCTTGTACTACAGAGCTGAGTGTTGTTGATGTTGATGTTGTTGCACTTCACTCCAGGGTGAGCTGATTTGTCCCCCCCTCCCCCCCAACACCCCCAGAGGACCATATTTAGCGCGAGTGATTAGCCAGCTCCGCACGACCCTTTGGCGATTGCTTTTCAACAGCGTCGCTATTAGGGTGATTAACATTGGAAAATCCGGTTGCAATTAGGTTTTGTTTGAATGGTAAGTGAAATGGTAGTGTTGATTAATTTGAGATCGATTTGTTGATGATTTTGAGTTTCATATTAACAATTAAACCTTTACATATTAGTATTTCATTGTGTAGATATGTAAAAAAATTATACTTTTGCTTTTTCAACATTCAACATTTTGCAGTAACTGAGGTCGGATTTAGGGTGGAGTTTACGCTGGAGTGAAATATTTTCATATAACACATATGCTTCTTCTTTTGTTTCTACAAAATACCTACTTGTTGTATATCAGTTTGAAATCACCTGTTTTAGTTTATCCTAACCGTGTGCGAATTGAAATAACCGTTTTTCAACAATTCTGTACTTTTATTTCACAATCGAAAATATAAATGTTTTTGTACAAACTTTATAGTTATGATACAAATAAAATGATTACTTATCTTTACGTATGAAACCAAAGCTGTATTGTTAAAAAGTTGTATTTTTCTCATCATGCAAATTGATAACTAGTTATTGAGACATTTTAGCTGCCAGTGATAAAAACGACGACTGTGTTTTTAAAACGATCTAGTTATCTTTACACACTTAAATGCATCGTAGAAACAATATTACTATCTCTATCTATACATATACGAAAATACGGCCTAATGTTTTTTAAACTGTCTTTACATTCAATCCTTTAAATGCATTGTAGAAATAATTAATAGGCCTATAATTATACCCATGCACATACGATATTACAGTACTGTAAAGATTTGTTTAAAAGTCAAGCACTTTCCTCTATGGTTCTTTTTCTTACAAATCCATAACAAT